TTGATGTGGCGACTCACATAGATGGACAACAATATTCAACAGATGACGTAACAGATTCTACATCGCGGTATAAGAGTTCTCAACGCAATTAGAACCGATACAAAAATTCCGACAACAACCGTCGCTCAGTAGCCCACCAGACATAAAACCCGTCTGATCGGAGGATCCTCCATTTTCAATGGAGGATGAGGAACTTTCCACCCTGTTCTTTCATACCTTTAAAATAGTATTCGCACAAAACCATGTTCTATTTCAAGTATGTTATGGCCTTGGTCATAACATACATTAAGTTATTTGTACACGGTCGTTTTCTTGAAATGGCTGGAACTGGAAGTACCCGAAGATATATTTTAATTATTTACTTTAAACTGTTCTTCCTTAGGACTTTAAAAAGGAACCAAAGTTTACTCATTATTACCAACTTTTTTAATACGCTTTTGTCTTTAGTTGAAGCATAAAGATTGCTTAGTTATTTATCAAAATTACACTCAATGTAATAAGCAATACGTCTCCAATCCGAGTGACAAGTCGGAACTAATTTCCCAAATAACTCGATGTCTCTGAAGTTTAACAGCAATTAGGCGTTTTCAAGAGTTGGCCAAGTGGTGGGCCCGGGGAGTACTAACTTAGTTCCTAGTGCTCCTAACTAGACGTCTAGAAGTCTAGATTATTTCCCTTGAAACTTGAAACAGAATAGCTTAAGGATTAATTTGAATGGATCTATCAAGGAGAATATTTCATGTCAGATGACATCAGTAGTTTTGACATCATTCAGATGTTTGCTTAAATAAAAAATAAATTGTTTACTTTTTTTTAAGTATCAATATATCCTTCAATGTCAATGTCATTGAAACGAAAACTCATCGACATGTGTATCCTGCCCGTCCTAACCTACGGTGCTCAAAGTTCGTCACTTACTGAACAGCAAAAGTCCAAACTGAAGATTTGTCAAAGGGCAATGGAGCGCAGCATTTTAGGTGTTAAGCGAAAAGATCGCGTTAGAAACACCACGCTGCGCTCCATAACTCAGACAGCAGATGTCGGAGAAAAAACAGCCAGGCTGAAGTGGGTGTGGGCTGGCCACGTCGCACGAATGCACTCGGATAGATGGGCGAAGATTGTCACTCACTGGACACCAGAAGGAGGTCGACGCCGTCGAGGTCGACCACGGCGAAGGTGGTGTGACGATCTGATCATGTACGCGGGGCAAACTTGGCCGGAGATCGCTCTAGACAGAGAAATTTGGAAGGAAAAAGGGGAGGCGTTTGCCCAGCAGTGGGACATACGATAGGCTATAAAAAAAAAGAAAAAATATATATATACTTATTTTAATTAAATGACTCAATTCTATCGCTCAGGTTTAGGCAAGAAAGAGTGTCAGATACTGAAAGTGAAAACCCTTCGTTCCTTCTTCGGGTCTAGGCCGTAGCCGCGGTAGTCTCTTGCTTCGCAACCCCGTCTGAAAATCGGCCCTGTTGAGCCCTATCTGTGTTAGTCTATTGGCTCTTTGAGGCGCGCGCAATAAAAGTTGGAGACCCATGCTTGCATGAGTAATACGACGGTTACACAGAAAACCGATGCGTAACAACTAAAGCGTTTTGTTTCGCCGTTACTGTGAGGTGGTCTTATTTCAAGTTTATGATACATTCTTGATAGTCTTTGCGTATCATAACCTTTGTTCAGCAAGGTATTGCACAATAAAATTATGAACCCTGTAGAGCAAAGTAACAAAGGACATGGCCAACTTTTGTATGGGCGTTTGCATAGTTATTGAATTCAATGTACATCAATGATTTTTGGTGTTTACATTCGTGAATATTATTAAATTAAATTGCAAAAAACAAAACACATGAAAAACTCGTAATTATAACAAACAAGACGAAAATAGTTTCACTAAACCTTTAGTCAGATTACTGGCCATAAGTGCATGAAATAAGATTTTGCTTTTAAAAACCATGGCGTTTCAATTAATTATTTATTTATTTATAAAATAAAACAAAAGAATATGTATAAGGAATAATGATTTATTTATTAAGGAGAACAAATAAAATAGAACTACGTAATAATTCACTTTTATATTTTTATTATAAAGTGTATTTATTATGTTTGTGTATGAAATGTACGTTTCTTTAATATATATTCTGTATAATTGGGTAATAATATGGTAGTACTTTCTATTTGAAGCGGCCTGCTTAAAACAGGTGGTAATGGTGGTGGCTCTGGTGGGCTAACCACTTGAATATAAGGGGCTACTGCATTGTTGTCCGAACCCAATTCCTGCAAGTTTCGTGATAAGTCCTGCACTGTCTGTCTATTTGCCCGCATTACAGCACACATGACAAACATAGTTGCTTCTTGAGGTCTGAAAAAATAAACCCCAGTTAGAATAAACACATGTTTTCTAGTTTTATGTTATTGTACAGTGAGAAGTATTATGTTACAACATGCCTATTTTAAAGAAGTCTATGCAAACATGGAAAATACATAAAGATAGATATTATAATCACACATACCTACTATGAGTACTTTTTTATAGATATTTTTTTTTACCCCAGTAGTCTCTCATGTTCACCAGCCTCAGTATTCAATAATAAGAAGCGTAGTTGACAAATGAATGTCCCCAGAGGCAACTAAAAAAAAGATGCACTATATTAAAATCGCATACCATGATAAAACATAAAAAAACAGACTAAGTATTATACTATTCCGACTTCATACCTGGGTTTGAGCTGGTTAACCAACGTGAAAGTTTTGTTTGATGGTGTGCAGAAAGCGAGGATATAAGACGCCTCTGCAGCCTTTGTACGCACACACCTCATCGTAATCCACAAAACAAATCCAAAACGCAAAACAGTTACTCCAGTATTATAAGCAAGGTTAACAAAAACACGCTGTCAAAAGTGTCAAACACGTTCCGTTTCGTTTAAGTTTATTTTTTTTTGTGAATTGGATAAAAATAAAACATAACATTATTATAATATAAGTATTTTTTAAAATGCAACTAAAACCAATGAATACAGTTTCGTATGAATAAAATGTTCCTAGTGTAATGCATTTGTCGATCATATCACACGTTTTCTACGAGTGTAGTTTAAGACACGTGGTTTGGAATTGGAACGTCTTTTTATTTATCTTTCTCTATGGACTATTATGGCGAAACTTGACAAACGAAGTTGATTTTGTTGCATTACTTTTAATTTTTTTTAATAATAATTGTCAGGTCTGGAGAGGCTAAAAACTACGTAATAATTCATATTTCTATTTGTATTTTACAGTGTATTAATTTTGTTCGTGTACGTGGAATGCACTTTTTTGGCCATGTCCTTTAAAGTTAGCATTTTGTATTTATTTTAAATTAAAATAAACAAAACCATAAATATCATTGAGAGCTAGATGAATTAAGAAATTATTGGTATTAAGTAAATAAAAATTATTGTGTATTGCATTCCGTAATGTACATAAGGTTAAAAATCAAATATAGAATGGTCACAATTATGAACTCTATGACTAGCTGGAAACTTAATACTCACAAACAAAACGTTATTATCAAATAAAGAAAATTCTAAGAGCAATTTTACTGAAAATCATAGTCACTGTGTAAAGATTACTTAGAAAAAAATGTGTAAGGGTTTTTTTTTATGTAATAGATCGGCAAACAAGCAGACGGATTACCTGATGGTAAGTAATCAGCGCCGCCCATGGACACCCGCAACGGAGGATTTACGAGTGCGTTGCCGACCTTTTAGGGATTAGGGATTTGGAGATTTAGGGATTGAGGAGGGATTGGGGGTGGGGAAGGATTGGGCCTCCGGATACCTCACTCACACAGCGAAACACAACGGTGTGGTTGTTTTACGCCGGTTTTCTGTAAGGTCGTGGTATCACTCCGGTCGAGCCGACCCATTCGTGCCGTGGTTGATTTTATTTCATTGTTTTCAAGATTCACAACCATATAGGCGTCTTAATATGTGGTAGTTCAATAGAAAACAGAAACAAATGCAAGAAAAAAAGCAAATCCTATAATTGAACAATTCACACCTCAACGACTTTGCCTTCACCAAAACAATCAGTAATTTATGTTCAATAAAAACCATTAAAAATATACAAAACACCTTTACTCAATACCATTCCCAATCTTATCGCTTCGATATAAAGTTTAGTATCAATATGGCATAGCAATGCACTTGTAACCTATTTAAATTGGTTGTCGAGAGAATACTTATTACCAAGTTATGTTTGCTTAATAAAACCATTTCTGTATTTACAATACATGTGTCGGTGTAACTATTTTTTTATTATAGTGTTTTGTTTATTACATTAACTGCTTCTCCATAATGGACTGGCTGACTTTCCAATGTATTGTGGTAATTTGGGTAAGATCATTATAGTATTAATTATTTGAATAGTGTTAACTTCATAATTACTAGTATCTTTTTTACGGGACGGAAAACTAGATTAGGTGTCACCTTAGTAAGCAACCAGGCCCTCCATGGGCTTTCGCAACAATGAAGGATTTATGCGTGCGTTACCGACCTCTTGGAATTAGGGTTTTGGAGATTTAGGGATAGGGGAGTGTAAGGATTGGACCTCCAGTATCATCATTCACACAGTGAAACACAATGTTGTGGTAGTTTCTGGCCGATTTTCTGTGAGGCCGTGGTTTCTGTCCGGTTGAGCCGACCCATTCATGCCGAAGCATGGCTCTCCTACACGTGTCCTATAACAGACTATAATATTATTCCATTTGACATATGGGTCCCAGATGGTACCTGCTCGAATTAGAAAGAACAGAGTGGTTTTTAGTCACTAAGAGGTTAAAAAGGTTTTTTCCTTAACTGTTATGTGAATATTATTACGAAAATAACGATATGTAGGTATAGTAGTATGTAGGTATATGTAGAATTCAAATAATAGTCCAATATTCCTCAAAAGTTATTCGTATACTTACTTTGATAAACACAAGGTAACTGGTTTTTTTTCAGGTATTATGCACATCAGAAATGAAAGCACAACAGCTGAACCATAAAAGTGAGTGCTTAGTTATTAATTACGCATTTATAATGGTTTAAGTGGGTGACAACGTTTAACATCCGCACTTCTATAAGCCTCTTTTTATTTTTCATATAAAGAGGATAGGACAGGGGCGGCAACCAAGTAGACCCCTGATGATAGAAAGCCAACGCCGCCATCCAATCCATCCATGGATACCCGTAACATCGAGAAGTTACTAGGGTATTTCCTTTTGTTGATTGTGGATGGGGGAGCGATTGAGCCTTTAGTAACATCATCCACATGCTATAACACAATGCAAGCGTTACCCCATGACGGTTTTAATGTGGCCGTGGTATCACTGAAACCGGCCATTTATATGAAAGCACTAGCGGCCCGCCCCTGCTTCGCACGGGTCTCGCTTACGATGAAAGGGTCCCTTTTAGCCAACTTACCCCTCTACTTTTCTAAAATTTTCTTTCATAAAAACCTTCTCCTGACAATAACACAGAAAACAAAAAAAAAACATTATAATTGGTCCAGGCGTTGTTGAGTTATGCGCTTACCAACACATTTTGCGATCCATTTTTATATATAAGATTATTCTCTCATACTTATCTTTCTTTCAGAGAACTTTTTTTCTCCAATAATTGTAGGTATAGTTGAATTTCATTCTGATACCTTGCTTGTTCCTATCTTCGTTATTTATTAGTTAGTCGTTTAGTTAGCTTATTATGTCTCACGATAGTTGCTTATAAATATTATTGTGACCTTTATTTTGACTAACGATTACTTCTCTATTTTTCACAGAAACCACACCACCGCAATTGACGCCACTTGAGCAATGTAAGGATGGTGACGTCATACCATCATCCAATGATTGCAATACGTGCTATTGTATAGACAATCGTATAATGTGCACACTAATTGAATGCTTCGACCCCATCTCAGGTAAAGTTTTATAGATATTAAAAAAAAAACAACAATTATGTGAAGTAAAAAGTTTAACAGGGTTCAATTTTCCAGATATCGAAGGAGGATTTAATGAAGAAGATGAGTACAGTGATCTTCAAGTGTATCATAATCAGTTACCAGTAGAACCAAGTGTTGATGTAATAACTAGGAATCATGGCAAGGAACCAGCGCGACTCGTATACACACATACTCATAATGACTTTCCAGTAGAAACAAACGTCTACCCTGGGCAGTTATCAAAAGATACTTCCACGTTACTAAAAGCTTTATCCTCGAGACTGCACGATAGATATTATAATGCGCCCCCATTTGATCTTAACACGGCCAGACCAAATTGGCAGACATCATTCCATCAGATCCAATCCAATCCTAAAGTAAATAGATATTTATCGAACGTTTACGTAAGCGACAACGTTAAATTGGACTCTATTAATAATAAATTTAAAGCTGCAACTGCTTCGTACGCCCACCCACATTATCTTGGACAGACGCAAACGACATTTACTACAACTCAACCACAAATAGCTCATTTGGATGATAAAATTCTCAAAATAATTTTTCCCGACGAATTCAAATTGAAAAAAAAATCCCAAAAACGGTTAAATTTTGATATTTCGAAGTCTGTTAAACGACCGTATCGCAACCAATTTATACAATTTAAAAATTCACCTTTATCAGTTCCGTTAGATCATAGGACGTACGGGTATTATGATGATTGGAAAAATAAAAAACGAATAATAATTAGCAGTTCAAATGATTTCAATGAACCAAGAGATTATTCAAACGGTTTCTAAAATCGAAATTTATAAAAAACTAATTCTTTTCCGAATACTCATTTACCAGATATTATTTTCCATATTAATGAACCCCCAAGCTTACAGGCAAGGCCTAAAAATACCTTTCATGGAATACATGCTAGCCTTTACAGACCAGCGTCCTTTGGTCTACAACACCCATCGAAGTTATTTGAAGTCTCTCCACATTCAATAGGTTTTAAATGAAGCTCCATATTATAACCAAGAATATTATCCTTAACGACTTAATCGATATCCAAATTTTCAACAAAGGCTTCATCAAAATCCTGGTTTTAATGCTTTAAATACTTATGTAGGTCCCAATATTGTCATGGATGGTATACATTAACGCCAAAATTTTCAATTGAGCTATCTACTCTCAAGAAAATCAAAACAAGTATCCAATTTTTAATTTTGAGGCTCGCAAACCTGCCTTACTTAAATTTTTTTTTTGGCTTATTATATTTATTGGTCCATCATATTCTGAATTTATCATTTTTCTTAGAAATTCCGCGTCATTCACTAAAGGCACAATACCTACTAAAACTGAATTAGAAACGTCAGGCAATCCAGCGTCTGAGTGGAAGCAGCGACTGTCGCAACCGAGGGCCGGGCACGCTACTACAGCAGCGGTAAGACCCCTCTTTGAGGAGTAGCTTGAGAGACGCCACGGCGTCCTCACCTTCCGCCTGACGCAGGTGCTTACCGGGCACGGCCGCTTCGGTAGTTTCCTGTTTCGGATCCAGCGGGAGGAAACGCCCGAGTGTCGTCATTGTGAGGACCACCTAGAGGACACGGTGGAGCATACACACACTCTCTCGCTTTACCCTGCCGGGAGAAGTCATTGGATGATTTTCCCCTGACAAAAAAACGGTAATCCAGCGTTATATCATATTTATTTCTAATACTACCTATTTCTATTACAAGCGTTTGGAACAGTACCTACAGAATGAACATAAACTACAAAGTGTTGATGACGATAATGATATCAATAATTTTGTCAGTCCCCCCAAAGGCTCCAACAATTTTATCTATAAATCTAGCAAAGGAACCATAAACCTACATTATAATATAATATAACCATTGGGTGAAGATTCCTAGACCTGCATTAGATGGTTTCCACACTACTTTACAATTCCAATGTGAGTCTTGCCCAAATGAAATTTATTTAAAATTCACCGATAATGGAAAACATCTGATAGATGATAATGTATTTGTATTTTTATGTGCATAGTTCTAGACCCGTTAAAATATAATTAAGTATATCTATATTTTAGTTATGGAGAAAAAAATAACTTTTGTAATATAATACTTTACCTCTTTATTTTTTTTACTGATTTCCCCGTTAATTTAGAGTAGTAACAAGATCGTTCTATCGGTTTTTTTATGTTATAGGTCGGCAAACGAGCAGATGGATTACCTGATGGTAAGCAATCAGCGCCGCCCATAGACACCCGCAACAGAGGAGAATACGAGTGCGCTGCCGACCTTTTGGGGAATTGAGGTTTGGAGATTTAGGAATTGGGACAGGGGAAGGATTTGGCTTTCGGGACCCTTCTTACACGGTGAAACACAACGCTGTGATTGTTTATATCACTATTATATCAGATATTTTGTATCACTCCGATCGAGCCGAAGGATGGCTCTCCCACATTTTTTTTACGACTTAATAACCGATTCTCTTTCTTTCAATACTCTGTGTGTACTCTACCCACACATCCGTATTGAGTATTTAAGTGTACGTCTTGGCAACCTATATCATGGCTAAATTTTTCTCGAGTTGAAAAAGTCTGAAAAATGTGCAGAAATCGACTGCAACTATAAACTTGCAATCAATCATGAGAAAAACCAACAATTACATTACCTTACATACATTCTCGTAACAGAGAAAATTTGAAAGAAAATAAAAAGGCAAAGTTTAATTTAGTAACGACGTACCGAATGCAATGGCTAGCTAGTTTTGTAAATAAAATATACGGGCCTGCAAAATAAAAGCACTTGCTTTGGCCGTGCTCCCTTGAAACGTAATAAAAATGAATGTTTAATTCTTGCTCGGATGCAGTGTTAAACTACGCATATGTAACATTAGGTTCGTTTGTCTGTATGTCTGTGAATCTTACTAATTTTATAAATGCAAAAGTTAAGATGTTTGGATGTTTGTTACTCAATCAAACCAAGATTACTGGACGGGTCTGGATGATATTTGGCACAGGCATAGGATACACTCCGGAATAGGACATAGGCTACTTTTTATCAACAAACCACGCAGGCGAGAGCTAATACATTATATTATGTAACAATTGCGAAAGCGATGTTGATTGACCATGTGACTTATGTCAATTCTATACATTTCACTCTTTTCTAACTTCGTTTTCATTTTTAAATTCTTACTTTGTCCAAGCTTTATGTATACCGAATTGCGATAGCGATTTCGATCGATGACGTGACTTTTGTCAATTTGCATACATGATATTAGTATTTTCTAACTTCGTTATCATTTTTTAATTGTTAATTTGTCTAAGCCACCTAAGGGTAAAGATAATGAACTGCCATTTGGCTCGATTCTTTTTCTTCATCTACAGTTTTCCCTTTACCCTTTTTACAATAAGTTATTGGCAAAGAAAATGAATACTTTCTAGACGAGAGCCTATTGCCTTGGCGGACTCAGCCGAAATACCCAGATTTCGTGGTTTAATTTAAAGTTGTTAAACTCTTATGAACTGAAGTAATACATTATCTTAGTCATCAAGATATCAGAACTACTTAATTCTAAATATGGACTTGTTCGTAAAAAAAATTAATAAGAAACTGTTTTAGATATATCATTCGTTTGTATGAAAGTTTAGTTTCGAGTCACGTTGCGACGCGCACGCTGCTCATGAATAAGAGTCCCGTGATGACTTGAAACTTGTAGAGCTTTTCTCAATTAATTCACATGAGTAAGTTATTTCCAATTAACTAGGAAGACTTACGATAGCTCCTTTTGATTTAAAACTTTTTTAAATCAAAAAAATAGATAAAATTATACACAAGAAAAGCCGAGGGTTTCATGTTAACTTGGCCAACGGTAGCAGATGTAACAAATAAATATAAATTTTTGTCCAGCGGACGCCACGACAGCAGTGGGAAACGCATTGCGGTGCTCACCATGTACTATACATATATATTTTTAGTGCACAGTGATAAATATAATGGCAAAGTGCAGACAAATTGGGCGAAAATGGTTGGCTTTGAATTTCTGGAAACAATACGTTCGTTTTTCCTCTCGTTTATTGGTTTCGTCATTTGTTTTTTCTGTTGTTGTCTCATTTTTCATCATTTTATGCACGTATTTAAGAGTTTCATTTGAGTATGAGAATTGAGACTCGTTTTAAGTCTAGCTTTTCGGATTAATTCTAGGTTTTTGTAAGTGTGCGATCTAACTCGAAGCCTAGAATTCTTGAAGGAAGAAATTTGGAAATATATCTTATATCTAATTGGCTTAAATAAATGTTTGACATTGTGACATGTACGTCATTGAAGTTAAAGGGATTTGATGTGTTTATAATTGGATTTTATAATCACCGAGTCAAGTATCAAGTATAAATTATTTGTTTCGAAAGTGACAGGTCCTTAATTTAATTAATTGAGTACCTATAATTATACCTTGTTGCTGGCAGTTTCCGTTAATCTGCTTTCGCCAAATGGAGTCAATTTCTATTAACTCCTATTTTTTTTTATGTAATAGATCGGCCAACGAGCAGACGGATAACCTGATGGTAAGTAATCAGCACCGCCCATGGAAACCCGCAACGGAGGAGTTACGAGTGCGTTGCTGACCTTTTAGGGATTAGGGATTTGGAGATTTAGGGATTGGGGGTGGGGAAGAATTGGGCCTCCGGTAACCTCACTCATACGGCTTCACAACACAACGCTGTGGTTGTTTCACGCCGGTTTTCTGTGAGGCCGTGGTATCACTCCGGTCGAGCCGACCCATTCGTGCCGAAGCATGGCTCTCCCACACTTAAACACCCCCCACACTTATTTTCCGGATTTTATCCATTCCGGTGACTATCTTCAGCTTCTTGGCGTAACTCTGACGCTCACTCTTAACTTTGGCTTCATTTTTTTCCTTTCTTATGTTATAAAACAGCAAACGAGCAGATGGATTACCTGATGTTAAGCAATCATCGCTGCCCATGGGCATACGCAACAACTTTGGAGTTACGAGTGCGTTGCCGACCTTTTGGGCATTAGTGATTTGGAGATTTGAGAACTGGAGAGGGTTAAGGGAAGAGGAAGGATTAGACCTCCGGCAACCTCAGTCACGCGGCGAAACAAAATGCTGTGGTTATTCTCACTCGTTTTGGCTGTGGCCAGGTTACGCCCACGGCCTCACCTCCCACACTTAAACACAGACACATTTCTTCATAGAGTCTAAGGCGTAACTGGTTAGTAGGAATCTGAAAATCTTGTCGAGGGTGAAGATTATTACACCATTAAGAGGTTATTTATGGGAAGGCCTGCTCCTATCGTAAGCCACATCATCGCTTACCGCCAGGCGAGGTAGGGCCAAACTGCGGAAAACAATTTGACCTTTGTTGAAAATTTGATTCCGCGCAACGTGTCGTGGTTCGATTCCCGAACGGAACAACTCTTTTTGTGATCCACAAATTGTTGTTCCGGGTCTGGGTGTGATGTGCATGTGAAATTGTATGTTTAAATGCACCCATTTTAAACGTTTTTTTTTTAGAAAAATAAATCACTCTTAAGTTTGGCTTATAAAGGCTAAGGCGCAACAGCATCTTAAGTCAGTAATTCAAATCTTTATTAAAATATTTTGTACCCATTATGTTAGTTCATTAATTCGATTATAGTGTATTTGATTTAGCCAAACCCTTAATATCCTGCAGCATTACACTCTCTAAAGCTGTCTGGGGTTAAAATGCCAAAATTACTCAAAAAACTTTAAAATTTTAAATTAGGCAGACAAATGAAGCCAGGTTTGAATAAAGTGACGTACAATGGCAGACATTTAATGAAAATGGTCGCAGGTGTTCCCAACTTTGAATGACGACAGCGCTAGCGGAATTAAAGGGAACTAATAACTATTCTCACGTTTACCTTATAAAACTACTAGCCACTGTCAACGGCGTCGCCTGCTTTAGGCAGAGGAAGGTAGCTCTGTTCTTCCTGACTACAGTGTATGTATACACTAATTTTGATCAATGGGCTAAAACAGCGGCATTTAAAACCAAATATTTTTTTTTGCTGTAAGTATTTTGTCTTTGGCTTTTTTATAGGTTAGTTCGGCAAACGAGCAGACAGATATCCCAAAAGATCGGCAATGCAGTAGTAGCACGGTATCCACAGGCGGCGCCGAATGCTTACAATCGAGTAATCCGTGTGCTTGTTTATCTTCGCTTGTCACATAAAAAAGCAAAAATAACTACATAGTCTAACCAAAGTCGCTTTTTCTATCCCATCATTATACCTATGTACAATGATATCCATATGCATATCCGGGGTGGGTCGCTACATCTATACTTAATATTATAAAGAGGTAAAATTTGTATGTTTGTAAGTTTGTATGTTGGGGGTAATCTTTGGAACCGCTGGTCGGATTTCCAAAATTCTTTCACTGATAGATAGCTACAATATTCCTGAGTGCTATAGGCTATAAAACATCACGCTACGATTAGCTAGTAGATAATATATTCATTGAAAAGGAAGGTTTATAGGTATAATGACATCTATAATTAAATAGTGGAGAAATTGCACCCGTGGAAATCCGGGGTGGGTTGCTTTATAGTTTAATAAAACAAACAAAATAATATATTAAAAATTATTGATTTATTATGTATATTGTTAACATTGAAAAATACAAAGGTAGGTCCATATGTTAATTGTTATGTTTATTTAATGTTTCAACACATCTTTCTTCAGTGAAACACAAATTGTGCGAACCGGGTTTGTAACCCCCACACAGACAGATACTGCAGCGTTGCCGTGGATTTTGGATTAATGTACCAAAAGGACACTTAACATCACCTGTAAGAGTTAAGAAAGTAGTGATTAGACATAACTAACTTATAGCGACGATGATTAGGGATGTCTCGAGTCAGTTTTTTAATTAATTAGGAAAATATTAATTCTTTTTTTATGAAATCAAATATGTACTTTCAACGACAGCGATATTAAATCTCATTTAAGTGAATACTAGCTTCCGCCTGCGGTTTCGCCAGCGTTGTGGATGAAAATTCCAAACCTATGTGTTAATCCAGAGAATTACCTATCTATCTACATACAAAATCGGTCCATCCGTTTTTGCGTGATAGAATAACAAACATATATATGAACATACATTCTCATAAACTTTTACATAAATTATTAGGATAGCGTGATATAGTAGGATAGGAATATTAGGATGAGGTTTGAAATATCGTGTAGCGTCAGGATGTATTTAGTATCTACATTTTAAACTGAGAGGTGATTTAGAGTTTCCGCCCTCCGAAAAAACAAAATACTCGTCAAATTTTTTTTCATCAAACATCTGACAGACTGAATTAATGTGTAGGTAATTTTTGTACCATATCATAATTTCAATTCCATGTCAACTTTATGTTATCCACAAATTGTTTTTCTGAGTCTGGACCGTAGGTGTACCTATGTGAATTTTTATGCAAAAATCCAAGTATAGGAAAATGGTTTCAAAAAAAAATCAAGAGGGCGTATTATATCTTGCACCGCTAAATAATTTAGTTGACACTGATCATTAAGTACTCCAATTAATACTTACTATAATCTGAAAAATGAAAAAAGAAACAGTTAAGTATAAAGAAAAAAAGTAAAAAAGTTTCTATATTAGTACTTTAGTTTTTAATTTAAGTTGAATTTCGCGATAATTGTTTGGTTATTAATGGTTATGTAAAAGTTAATTTATCGAAAAGGTGACCTTGGATTTGATGACCGAATTTCAAAAGTATCTGCAATATGACAGAGTCTGTCATTACCAGGTTTTGTTAGAAAAATAAACTAATTAACCCAAGGAAAAAGTTCAAAGTGCATAATTTGAAAAATTTAACGTAAAGTATACTGTATGAGATGTTATGGCTGCCTAGCGATAAAACTTTAAGTGCTTGGATTTTATTAATAGGGGAAATCGTTTATGGAGACTAAAGTATAGTACGGTTCAATAGCTCAGGCTTGAGACTTGTCCAAGCAAAATGGGGGATTCTCTGATGGTCGACAATCTTCATGGCAAAATAAGCAACCAACCTTTTTCATACATAGGTTGATAAAGGACTTGGGACCAACAAAAATATATAAAGACAACGTACCTGAACATGATTCTCCCTTTACGGAGCAATCCCATTGATTGGATAGACATTTGCACTGAGCACAGTATGGCGGGAATCCCATTTGAAACTTGTCTTTCTCACGGCAGTATTTTCCTGAAAAAAGAAAAAAAAAACCTTTAATGTTAGGAAAAACATTTAGTTTTTATTGCGCGACAAAAATCCAGGCTTATTGCAGGGTGCAATCCCACTCCTATGCAATCATGGATATGCACATGCAGCAAAGGTGAGATGCATATGCACACGTGCGACGAGCGCTTGTCGAGTCAACATCTCCTGAGGATGCCCTGTGGAGTGGCATGTTTTTCCGGTTTTTGCACGTGTGCATATGCATGTGGACGGGAGGGTGGGACCTTTGCTGCATGTGCTTTTTTGCATGATTGTATAGGAGTGGAATTGAATTCTGCAACAAGCCTGGATTATTGTCGTGAAATAAAAACTATATATTTTCCCTAACATTTAATGTCATGGATTTCCGCAAAGTTACGCCTGATTCTATAAATAAAAAAAGACCTGAAGATTATAGGAATAATTATTTCAGATTAAGCTTCCTTTGTGCACCTTCCAGGTTTTTTTTTTGGTATCGGATTGGAAAATCCTCATGGAGACCCACCGCCCTCGAAGAAGGGCAAAGGGTACTGTCAGACTCTTACTAATTATGTAATGGCTGATAGAGTTGAGAAACGTCGCATCAACGAAGCGTCAACGAACTCCCAAGCCGCCAAACATAGAACTTCATGGCGTCGCATCGCAAGAGAGGCGGTGGCGCAAGACTCGACCGACGCATGACCACGACCACACTCTGTCAAGAGTGCACGACTAAGAAGAAGAAAATTGAGAGGTAAATATAATCTATTCTGCCATAACCACATGGCATGGGACCAAACGGTAGTAACTGATATACGTTCTGGACCGTTCTTCTCCATTGTAATCTATACTTTGGAACGAGCAAATAGCTTCACTAAGAGGACTGACCGACAGGCTGACTCTTTTTATCTTTAAGCTTTGTTTGACGTCCAAAAGTGCCTGTAAGGGTCTAACTGAAATAAATGATTTTAACTTTGACTTTTATTAGAACCTGGCTTATTCTCTACCTTGACAGTTAGATGATAGTTATTTTGTGCATTGCCACTTTTTCGGTCAGTAAACAGGTGCAAGCGAGGAACCTGACCGGACACACGATCTCACCAGACCTACATTCTTTTAGAAGGTCATTTAATACCAGAAGGGACTAATGGAAGGGGAAATAATGTGTAGGCATTTAAAAGTCATGTAGGTAAAGTCGAATATTAAGTGATGTTAATTTAACTTATTTTATTAAAACTAGAGCCCTGCACGTCGATTCTATAAAATTTGATTGATTTTGAATCTTGTTCGAGTGCGAAGTGAGCGTTGAAGTGACGGGGAAATTAAATTTTAGAATGCCACTTTTAACGTCATCTCATACTTTATCTATCAATATGTTGCTGTCAATTTAGTTCAACTCGCAAGTGTAGCGCTAGTGTACTACTCACAGCGGATTCAGATTCGAAGTTTAGAATGAAGTCTTACAGAATCACACCCCTGGTTTTGCACGGGTGCAATGCTAATTCTAAATTTCTCCACTATTTAATGGATGTTACTAAACATATAAACCTTCCTCTTCAATCTCTATATCTATAAAAAATACCTCATTAAAATCCGTTGTGTAGTTTTACATATTTAAGTATACGTAGGCATATAGGGACAGAGATCGCGACTTTGTTTTTATACTACCTATAGTGTTTTTTTTTGTGAGGGAAAAGTCATCAAATGACTTCTCCCACCCAAGGCCGGGCGGGAGGGAGTGTCAGACTCGTACTGACTAAAACCCCCCCCCTGTTACTTCTCCTGCTCTGACCTTTTTTCTTTCTTTCTTTCTTTCTTTCTATATAGTGGTGTGATTTAATTTTTGAGCCAACTATGTTTATGGCTAAAAACATAAAGGAGGACGCAACTTTTTTAATCAAATAAAAAAAACTTACTTAACGTTTTGCCAGGTTTCGTGTCTGCAAAAGTAAAGTAACAAGTTCAAAAATTAAGTAGTTGATATAAAGCTCATTATTGGATAACCCAAGGATTCCCTTATCTACATAAAATTTTGAAGAATAAATACAGCAGTCTACAGAAAGTTTTTTTTAATATAAAATAGACTGTATAAGTGTTATCACCAGAGCCAAGCTTCGGCACGAATGGGTCGGCTCGACTGGAATCCACAGAGAACCGGAGTGAAACAACCACAGCGTTGTGTTTCGCCATGTAAGTAAGGTTACAACAGGCCTTTCTGCAATCCCTTCTCAATCCTTAAATATGGAAACCCTAAACCCCAAAAGGCCCGCACTCGTGGCGTGGGTGACACCATGGGTGGTGCCGATTGCTTAGCGTCAGTATCCATATGCTCGTTTGCCAACGATCTATTTTATAAAAAAAAACACCATCTATCAATATCATCATCAGCTTTCCTTAGAGATACTATGGGTCTCTCCAATTATATTCTCAATTAGCTTTTCACAAACAAACCATACTAGTAATTTGGCAAATATTGTATTTTGCCAGAAATAATAAGTCTTTTCGAAGTTACCTAATGTTATTTTTGAACACGCTAATATTTAGGCATTCAGGAGTTGTTGCATATAAAATTAGAAAATTTCATCCCAAGTGAAGTAAGTATAAAATTATGCTGATTTCTAAATAAGTTAATGTATTAATAATCATTGGATTTAATTATAGGTATTGATCCTACTACTATTGACTAAGTAAAAATTGTAAGACAATTTAAATCGAATCAGAAGAAAACTTACTGATGGTTTTGTGTGGTGTATCTGTAAAAAAGAACATAGAATATATACACATTTAGATAAAAGTGGATGTATATTTGTATATAATTATTCCTCAGGAAACAATTAAAGGTCTGCTATTACCTAACGAACGTGGATGACGGGGGACGTGTGTCATTTGGATTAGGATGAAAAACAGCTCTTACAATAAAAATTAAAAATAAATTGATGTGTGATGAAGCATCACGAATGGGCCGGCTCGACCGGAGTGATACCACACCCTCCGAGGAGACCATGTGAGTGTTGTTACCGGAGACCTGATCCTTTTCCTCCTCTAATCCCTCCCTAATACCAAAATCTAATAATCCCTAATCCCCAAAAGGTCTAACTCATAACTATTCGATGCTCTCTGAAATCCAACGTACATTTTGGGTTCCGTATTGCATGTCACAAGCAGAATACAGAACTATTTGAGATCGTCTCATTCTAGATAGAGTCCTAGTATACTTCCATAGCTTTTGATTTGACCTTAAAAAGGAGCTGTCATAATTACCTCATCATCATCAACCTATAAGTTCCTATTACTGAACAAAGGTCTCTTCTTAGATGGAGAAGGTTTTAGCAATATATACGAAGTGTGGGAGAGCCAAGCTTCGGCACGAGAGGGTCGGCTCGACCGGAGTGATACCACGGCCTCACAGAAAATCGGAGTGAAACAACCACAGGTTGTGTTTCACCGTGTGAGTGAGATTACCGGAGGCCCAATCACCTCCCTCTCCCTATCCCTTCCCAATCCTTAAATAACTGATACCTTTATCCCTAAAAGGCCGGCAAAGCACTCTTAACTCCTTTGCTGTTACGGGTGTCCATGGGCGCTGACTGCTTACCATCAGGTAATCCGTCTGCTCGTTTGCCGATCAATTCCATAAAAAAATACGATTGCTTTGAGCGGGTTGGTGATTTAAAAGATATGATTTGATAGATGAAGTAGATAGAATGTTTATGATGTTATGATATTTAATAATTTTATTATTACCTTCCTTGCACAAGTTTAATAAGCACAAAGCTAGTCCGTTGTGCAAGCAAAAACAGTTTCTACAGAACCTGTTCCCATCTGGACTGAAGAACGTGAATGGTTTGCAGAAAGTAACATCGGCCTTGTGCGTATTTTGTTTTACTCCTTTGCTTTCTAACCCTAAGAAACAGAAAATAAATATTTATACAATAGCGTCTGATCTTCTTTGACACTAATTGGTTACCTTGGCTTACTAGAAACGATTTTGGCACTAGATAGTAATCTGAAGTTAACTGTGGGAGATCCATGCTTCGGCACGAATGGGTCGGCTCGACCGGAGTGATACCACGGCCTCACAGAAAACCGGCGTGAAACATCCACAGTGTTGTGTTTCGCCGTGTGAGTGAGGTTACCGGAGGCCCAATCCTTCCCCTACCCCAATCCATTCCCTTTCCCAAAATCTCCAAATCTCTAATCCCCAAAAGGTCGACAACGCACTCATAACTCTTCCGTCGTAGCGGGTGTCCATGGGCGACGCTGATTGCTTACCATCAAGTAATCCGTTTGCTCGTTTGCTGACATATCAGATAAAAAAAACACTTATTGAATATTTTGGCATACAAAAGAAACGATTTTGGTACTAGATAGTAATCTGAAGTGAAACCCTAACAAATGCTGCTCATAATTAAGATTGCTGAGTGAGTTATTTTCAATAAATTAAGTATGTCTCACGTTAATTACTACACAAAATAACCCTAACACGATAAAACGAAAATGATTGCATAAACGGTGAATAAAAGTATGAAGAGTGCTCGAAAAAGGTCAAAGCCAAAGTAGTGCCAAAGCAGTTTGGCGATTTCAAATGAGTAAACAGCTTTTTTTCCTGGTCTTCTCACGATGTTTTTTTTCGACATTATGCTTGTATGTCTGAATAGTCTTATAGCCTGCACAGATGACGCCGTCTTTCAGCAACCGGTTGCCGTGAAACGTATCGCGATTTCGATTCCCGCTAAGTGTTCCTATCCTTGAACACGAAGAGTTGTTTCACTTCATGTCATCAGCAAACTGTCGTTCCAGTCTGAGGATGATGTGCACGTTGTAGCTCGGAGAAAGATTAAAAAAAAAATTTTCTTTTTGTCAAACTTACTTTTTGGTTCGTGAATTTTCGAATCTGTTTTATCACATTGTCGATGTGTGCAAAACAGTTCGTTTCCATCACATAAACACACGTTAGGACATTCAGGGTCATAATCTTCAGGTAGGTAAAGCATTTCTTTGTTGCAACCAGGCTCTAGCATCTGCGGTGGTATCTGTGATTGACTGTAAAGTGATTGTAGTAGTGACCGGACCAAATCAAGTGGTTTTAGACCCCCTAGAAAATAAAGTCGTGAATTGTATCAATTTTTCACTGCATGGTGCAGTTTTGAACTTATTTGGTTTTATACATACATATATAAGCACTATCGTGGACTTTACGGGTTATATTGATATAGTTTTCAGGGGCAAATACTCACTTCTAAGTACTTGTAAACAACCTTTGTTAGTGCAAGCAATTTTTCCATTCATACACACGCAGACGTTGCATCCATCGTATGTTGAATGCACTTCTCCATCGACACAATCTTTTTCAATCATTACTGAGACATCTGTGGACAAAGAAAAAAATTTAGTCGTCAACAATATAGTAACATAACTTCTTTGTGGGTTTGTTTGTGATGTAATATCCACATTGTGAATGTCTTTGACGAGGAGGTTGAGCACACGGGTTCGGGTTCAAAAGCTGGCAAGTACCAATTTAACGTTTTCCGAATTAAGTATATATATATATATATTTTATGATCATTTACCAAGTTAGTGGTTAAACACCACTGACACACGGTAAAGGAAAACATCGTGAGGAAACCTATACTCGGAATTTTAATTCCATTCCAGATTTGACAATTTCAGTGTTGCAACGTATGACTCGTAATAAATAGTGACGTTGCGAAATTATTCGATGTGGAAATCGAATATTTCTGAATCGATTCCTCTCGTTTGTAAATTTACTCTCGTAAACTAAGTTTATGAGGAAATAAAGTATTTCTGAACCGATAATTTAGTTTTGACAATTAATTAACGATCTGGGACTTTTCTTTTGTAATTGTGTGTGAAATTAATAAAAAATGTGATGATGAAGGAACGTGACAAATAAAACAGACATTTTATAAATTGTCGCCGTCATCGCTATCGCTATCGCTGTTACTTTATGTAACATTTATTATGAATTGTGTCTGTGATATTAATTGTCAATTTACAAATCTAGCTTACTCATTTTTTCCTCTTCTTTGAAAACATGGGATACTCATTTAGACCACTGGTAGCCGTAATTTTTTGAATGCCTTCCTGAAACTGATTCACTGATTGTTTATCGATTTTTGTGTTCATCACTACACTGTTATATGTGGGTATCATTATTTCACAAAATTACAGTGGTCAATGTCAAATCAGGAATCGAATTAAAATTCTGACTATAGACTTATAATTTTTAATTATAAGCTTGAAATCACCAATCCGCCTTAAGCTAGCGTGTTGATTAATGCTCAAACCTTCTCCGTGTGAGAAGAGGCTTTTGCTCAGCAGTGTAGGCTGATGATGTGATGTGATTGTGACTGTCCGTCAGGTAACCCTAAAATTTAAACAAAAGTATCCCAATATTTCAAAGTATCAACTTTTCAATGAGTTACATGTTGGCCAATCATCTTATACTTTATGGGATCCACACAACGGATAATTACTGACAAGCAATTGAGTGGAAACTTGTAAAAGGATCTAAAGAATTTAGTGGAATCGTTGGGCGCTCAATAAAATAGGAAACGTACAACTGGTTGCAATAATATTGACCTGTGAAATTTCCAGAGAAACAATTAAGATATTGCAGATAAACACCCAAGAGCAAGGGCCTGGGAAAGGGTATCTGGATGAGAGATATTACAAATGTAATAAAAGCGACAGTCCACACTCTTAAACTGTGGAGACGAGAGGTTGTCTTGGATAAGCTAGAGCTAATTCTTAAAATTAAGTTTTACAAAGTAAATTTAGTGTGAACTGCGGAATATTTGTGAGTAGCAGCGTGAGTGTGCGGAACGGGCACGTGAATGTAGTCTTTATTATTATATCGGTTAGGGTTTAATTCCATCGTATTTGCATCCCGGAACAGTGCTTTGCACTGTACTTGTTGTGCGCGCATCTCCAGGGAGCGGGGGTAGGCTTCACCAAGTATCTCGGGGCCCTCCTTTAATTGGACGACTGTGTTTGAAAGGAACACTAGATTACAAACACATGTGTTCCGTTACCTGTTCTATCTATTAAAAAAAACGCATCAAAATCCGTTGCGGAGTTTCAAAGATTTGAAGCGGATGAAGAAAGCGACTTTTTTATATTATGTAGTGATATACATACTTGGTACATTATCCAAACAAGGTTTTTGGGTGCACATTTCGATTCCATTTATACAAATGCAATAGTTGCAAGCGTCCTTCTGTCGTTGGCTGCCGTCAATACAGGAATCGTCGTTTGCCCTTAATTGTGGTAAAATATCTGAAATTAAATGAAATAAATGACAATAAATATTATAAATCTTTTATAATATTTATTGTATAATTTTTTACTTTCATTCTTGCTTCTGCCAAATAAATAGTGAGATCGCGATACGGATAATCATCATCAACGCGTGTTTCATAATAAATGTAAAAATTACTTGTATGAATAGGCACATCGCAGTCTTCCGTTTTTTCTGGGATACACACGTATGTTTTGTTTGCAGTGCACGTGCAGATTACACAACTTTCTGCTAAAACATGGCCTTCTTCACAAGCCTCCTCGAATGGCGATCGCAAATATGGGGCTTCTGAAAAAAACAAAGCGCGCTTACAAAGTAATAACACGATGTCCCAGAGATTTTTTGACGCCTACATGATCGAAAATATTAATGAATACAATGTACAGTATAAAAGCTGTTCACGATTTAATAATTTTAAAAGCTTCCAGCGTGCTCGATAGATGGCGATAGAGTCGAATTAGAGGCGACAGGTTTCGTTATTTCGGTTTGACTAATACTTATTTTTTTAATAAATGTTATTTCGAGACTAACTCGACACAGGTCAATCTTTGAGTTATCCCTATGAACGGTAAACAGTTGTTCATTAATTACCCCGCTTGCGCTTGCTTAGCCTTGATACTAACCCCTAAAATACCACCCCGGTGTTTAACATATTAATATGTTAAAACTGATTTGTTTGGATGAATACGCTACCTAGCTCTAAAACTACTGGTTCGAATCGAAATCGAAATCGCCGTTACGCAGACCGGGGTAATAGGCTTAAAAAAAACATTTTATAATGGGAGGTCTAGAAAGATGGGTGTGGGAATAGGAATGTGCTAACTTAGCAGCATAAGGCCTCCGGTAACCTCACTCACACGGCAAAACTCAACGCTGTGGTTGTTTCACGTCGGTTTTCTGTGAGGCCGTGGTATTACTCCGGTCGAGCCGACCCATTCGTGCCGAAGCATGGTTCTCCCTCCATTCCCACATATGTATATGACTTTTAAGTAGGTAAATAAGGTAGATCAGAACACTCACGGTCATTACTGCTTGGGCACTTATTCTTCGAACATATAAGTTGACGATGAGCATTGCAATAGCAATAATTGCATTTGTCTAGTCTGAATCTGACTCCTATTTTGCATTCTGTTTCGTACTCCTTGGCTGGAAATTGTGTAAAGTAATTTTGGGTTAATTAAGTTATTCTATATTTTTAAATATATAGTACATATATACTATGCAGCTGACTTTCAAACAAGCCGAATGCATGAACTCTGGCCTTGGGATATGAGTTACCTACTGTTGTCTTATATAACATAATGAAATTAGCCGGAAAATTATATTTTTCTTTTTTTTGATAATGTTGCCCCACATTGAGGATTTTCTGCTGTGTCGTGGGTTCGTTTACTAATATGTGGTTATGTGAAATTGATTTTATAATAAAGTCTTCCTCAGGTAAACTAATACTAAACGACCAAATAAACAAATGTCTCATGCTGTGTAAAAAAAAACATACGTATATACTCGGAATCGGGCAGCTCGGTCCCTGTAAGAAAGTAAAACATAATAATAAATTTGAAACTATATCTCTAGTTGAATCCTTGAAGTTATTTTCTACTTATAGACTTTTTATTTGACATGGCGGCGAACAACCAGACTCAGGTAAGCAATCTTCTTCAAGACTCTCGCAACATCAGAGTAGTTACGAGTGGATTGAGCCTCAGGTTACCTCACTTGCACGGGTCTGCGGTCGGCGAGTAAGGGCAGCTCGCCGCCCGACCAGAACCAGGCCCGAGCGTACGGCGCGTAGCGTTCCGCGCGCGCCTCAAAGAGCCATTAGATCACCACAGACGGGGACCTTAAGGGCTGATGTTCAGCCGGGGTGGCGGGGTAAGCGCAATGAGGCACCGCGACCTCGGCACAGAGCAGGAGAAGGAACAGGGGGGTTTTTAGTCAGTAAGAGTCTGACACTCCCTCCTGCCCGGCCCTGGGCGGGAGAAGTCATTCGATGATTTTCCCCTCACAAAAAAAAGGTTACCTCACTTGGTGTGAGTGAAACCTTGGTGAAACGTAAACGTAAATGTTGCTTCACGCCTAATTTTCTGTGGGCCCGTGGTATCACTCCGGTTGAGCCGACCCATTTGTGCCCGATGGCCTCTCCCACACGAATACATTTGATTTTAAACGTCTCGGCAGCTGATTCTTATCTCTGCTTCAAGCGTGGACTACCAACGTTACCAACTTTATAGTAGGGGAGCCCAGGATGCTAAATTTGTAGTCACTCATCCGTCGTAGGCAGCAACTCGATTTTGACAAACAGAATTTTGAAGATATAGTGTCAGTCTGTCGGTCAGTCCTCTTAGTGAAGCTATTTGCTCGTTCCAGAGTGTAGATTCTGATGGAGAAGAACGAGCAAGAAACTCCATGGTTACTCTTTTTAAATCAGTTTCATATACAGATTCCTTTTACAAACAGTAAGTTCAATTATGATAGAAACGAGACCCATTCAAAACTCTGTAAAACCTTTAAAAAATCTTTTTTTAAACGCACTTTCTTTAGCATGAAATCTTCCTGTCCCGCCTTAATCTGACGAAACTGTCTGTATTTAGTATTTTTTTGCTCAAACCTTCTCCGTGTGAGAAGAGGCCTTTGCTCAGCAGTGGACACTTATAGGCTGATGATGATGATTATGATGAATCTAACGCGCTTGAATAACCGCCAAAAGCCCTTCCTGGGCTCCCCTACTATTAAAATTATAATAAGTTATTTAATAACACTTTAAACTTACCGTGATTGTCACAGGAATGTCGTGTGCATATTCGGATGCCAAGCTCATTGCAGTAGCAATAATTGCAGGCACCTAGTCTATACCGCTCCCCGACATTACAGTGCTTAGTCTTTTTTGTGTCAATCTTGTCGTTATTCACTCGAAGATAAGGATCTATAAAATAAAGAGAAAAGTTTTCTAAATATCTATTATAATAAATATTATACATTTTTGCCAATTTTTGTTTAATGTTTTGGAACTTTGGCTAAATCATTGATCGTTTGATTCGCAGTGAACTTGTGAGCTTAATAATCCACTCAATTAATATCCCAGTGAAATTTTGGTAGCAGTCTCTCTGTGATTGCGATATTTCTGTGCTCTCTGTTCTTTTTTTTTAGCCACACTCGTACCTTATTTTGTGACGTCGTTTACAAACATACAATATCACACCCAGACTTGGAACAACAATTTGTGGAAAACACAAAGAGTTGTTCCGTGCGGTAATCGAACCAGCGACATGTTGCGCGGCAGCCAGTTGCCCGGCTACCGCGCCAACCGTGCAATATAAAACGTCCAACTTGGTTTTCAAAAATTTCACTAAAACAGCAAATTTGGTCATTTTATGAAACTGAAAATTGTTCTGGAGTGGACGCCGTGTCTGGAGGCAACCGTAGCGTTGTTAACTATCCAGCAAGGCTGAAAATTGAACTTATTAGCAAGATAATTTATTAATTATATCTCACCTTGACCACTGCGATGTGTAGGATCAACTACAACAGTTTGACCGTCATAGTCATCTGCAAAATCATGCTATCAATTAAAATCAATAGTATTTATTATTTACTAGCTACTCTCGCGACCAAAAAAAACATGGATGGATTGTGTAAGAAGTAATATGGAAGAGGAAGACAGAGGAGTTAGCGATAGCGTGACGGGTGACAGGACAGAATGGAAGAAAAAAACATATTGCGCCGACCCCAAATAAAACAGGACAAGGGTAGGATGATGATGATGAGTTACTCTCGCGTGGTTTCACATCTTACGGCTTACAAGCCTCGTGGTGTTTTATAGGCATTTATAGCCTTCCTTGATAAATGTAATAACGAACACAAAAGGATTTGTTCAAATCGAACCAGCAGTTCAGAACAAACAAACAAACTGCTTTATAATATTATTATATTATATATTAGATAAAATAAATGTAGCTATTAAAGCTATAATTTAAAACGTCGGTTCTTTAAATCGTTTTCTTCTTAAATGTGAGAATGAATTGCAGGCTGTTTGTTAGTGTCGTTAAAACTCGGGAACGGCTGGACAGATTTGGCAGATTTTTTTCTGGATATTAACCCCCCGTTCCGTTCCGTTCGTTATTATTGCGCTTACCCCGTAATCTCGGCTTAAAAGGTAATTACCTAAAAGACGTAAGACTTCCACGCTAGTTTCATTATTATAAGTCTGCCAACTAGGCGGAGTGACAACCTGACTGTCTGTGTTTGGTTGAGATGGACTGAAGATCCAGCTTAGCGGCGTGCTACTGGGGGGGCCTATGTAAAAAAATAATGCGTTAATCAATTCTTCACTAAAAAAAACAGTGTATTTTTTTACGTACTCACCGTCTTGTGTCTCGCTACGAGCACGGAAAATATGGAAGACATCTGTAAATGTGAGACATTATTATTAACAGATGTCTAATACAAAGGAATAACCACTATTCATAAAATCAGACGTTTTCTTTTTGTTTTTTTAAACTTTGCCCCACACTAGGATTTTCTAGTATCTCGTGGGTGCGTTTATAAACATACAATTTCACATGCACATCACACCCAGACCCGAAACAACAATCTGTGGATCACACAAACTGTTGTTCCGTGCGGGAATCGAACCCGCGACACGTTGCACGGCAGCCAGTTGCCCAGCCACTGTGCCAATCGTACAGGCAGATTATTCAGTTTTTTTTTGTGAAATAGGCAAACGAGCAGACTCATCACCAGATGGTAGGAGATCGGCGTCGCAGATGGACACTCGCGGCACCAGAGGCGTCACAGGCACGTTGCTGACCTTTTAAGAAGGAGTACGATCGTTTCTTGATGGTTTGAAACTTATTTCGTTTAGCCAAGATCGGAGAGCCAAGCTTTGCTCAGATAGGTCGACTGGACCTAAGTTATACATATTATAACGACTGTATAGAAAATTGGCGTGAAATAGTGAGGTTATCCACCAGTGGCGCCGATTGCTTACCATCAGGTAATCCGTATTCGTAATCTGTCCGTAAAATAGACACAATGCATAATATAAATATTACATTGTGTCTATCTGTCTTAATATAAGAAAAAAAAATTGCGTCATTTATATTAACTTATATGTGAGCTTCGGCACGAATGGGTTGGCTTGATCTGAGTGATACCACGGTCTCACAGAAAACCGACGTGAAACAGGTTACCGGATCCCTAATCCCTTCCCCTCCCCATCCTTCCCAATCCTTAAATATCCTATAAGGCACTCGTAAATCCTTTAGTATTACCGGTATCCGGATTGCTAACCATCAGGTAATTGACATATAATTACGCGGGTATTAGCGCGAAAAATAATTATTGAAATAACTTGGTAGGCTTGACGTATCGACCTGGTTGCACAGGTCGTGGTCACAAGCAAGTTAATACTATTAAAAATGAAACGCGAAAGTTTTAAAGTTAGGCATCAGGCTATAGGTATACTTTTTGCAGACTTATTCCATAACAAACACTTACCCTTAAAAATATTACCAAATTCTTTAACTGTAAAATAATAAAAATAGTTAATTCAAACTAGTCAAGTGAAACTTGAAAATTTACGTGACTTACGCCCGGTTCCTATAATTGAGAAACGCTCCGTTTTAATTACGAATAGTAGTTTTTTATACGACTCGTAAGCTAAAACCGTTCCTATAATAAACGTCTCGTCGTGCAACTTACTGACGGTTTGCAACTAACGGATATCGGTAAGCGAATTGTATGGAGATCTATGGTGTCTGTGGTTTTCCTATAAATATTTTAACCGTTAGTAGGCGGTCAAGATAACTATTCGTAATGTCAGTTGGTCGTAATGCGTATACAACGACGATTCGTTAAATATAGGAACCGGGCATAAGCCATTAATCATAATTACATCAATAATCTGTCTTAAAAGTTAAAAAAAAATATTGTATATTAGTATTTTCTAAAAAATAACACTTTTTAGAAAGTTTTGCACACTTTAAATACATAGTCTAGCGACATATAATAGTGTGTACAAATACATTTGTATGGACAATTACATTTAATTACGGTGTGTTTATAGACTTTCAGAGACTCTACCCTGAACATAGACAGCCCAACTCCAACAACATAATTCAGAGGGTACAATGTAGGTACTTCTAGGTACAACAATTCAAAATTAGGGCGAAGCATAACTGTCACCTAAATATGGCGATCTAATATCGCGGCCAAAAATACCAAAGCTTCACCACAAGAAAAAAATTAAATCTCATAAAAATAAATTACATTTTATACACATAACATAATAACATGACTGATCCCAAAACAAAAACTTACTTTTAAAATAGGAAGAAGTATCAGGCTCTTTATCTGTAAAAATAATAACAATAGTTAATTTACCTCAAGTCAGTATTGTGACAGGTTTGCCCTTAACCAATAAAAAATAAAAGGTCGTGGTGGCCCGGAGGTTAAGGAGCCCGCTTCCAATGCATGAGCAAGTACCAATGTGACTTTTTTCGAGTTATATGTACTTTCTATGATTATTTAGACACCACTGACAAACGGTGAAGGTAAACATCGTGAGGAAACCTGGACTTATAATTTCTAATTATAAAAGTTTGAAATCGCCAACCCGCATTGAGCAAGCGTGGTGATTAATGCTCAAACCTTCTCCGTGTGAGAAGAGGCCTTTGCTCAGCAGTGGGCACTTATAGGCTGATGATGATGATGAATAAAAAATATCTTGCTTGGATTTTTATGCATATCGTATGATGATTCGACAAAATGATCTCAACATAGTATCACATGCAAAAAAGTGTAAAATGAAATCACATTAAAAATACTTCGTAAAATGTCCTTGGGCGGCACCGATTGCTTACTATCAGGTAATCTATATAAAACTTCTCCCATCACAAAAACTTACCTTTAAAATAGGCAGAAGTATCAAAATCGATATCTGTAAAATAATAACAATAGTTAATTCAGCACGTTTATCGGATTGCTTAGTACGCTGCAATTTTAATAGATTGCGTGACCTAACCTTAGCAAAAACTTACCATTATAAATGTCAGAACTATCTGACTCTTTATCTGTAAAAATAATAACAATGGTTAATTCAGCACGATTATCGGATTGCGTAGTACGCGGCGGTTTTGATTGGTTGCATGCGTGGCATTCACTGCGTCACGCATCGCGCAGAACTGGATCATGAGCTCCATGCGTGGCCCAAAATTAGACAAGTTAAACTTGAGAAGTTACGTGACTAACCCCCGGTTTCCGAAAGTCCGATCAATGTTAAAATCAATTTAATCTCTTGTCAAGTTCTCTGATTGGTTGACTGAATTATCAACAACCAATCAGATGACTTGACAAGAGATTTAAAAGGAGATTAGTTAATTTTAGCGTTGACAAGCCTTTCAGAAACCGGGTGTAAGTCATTAAACAAAATACATTAAATATTTGATTTGGAAGTAAAAAAAAATATTGTGTATATTACTATTTTCTAAAAAATAACACTTTTTATAGAGTTTTGTACACTTAGAATATAGAGTCTAGCGACATATAATAATGTATTTTTATTTAGAGTGTGTAATTACAAATACATTTGTATGGAATATTACATTTAATTATGGTGGGCTTATAGACTTTCAGAGTCTCTATCCTGAGCATAGACAAAGCCCAACTCCAACATAATTCAAAGCGTCACGACAAGAAAAAAAGTGTAAAATGAAATCATATAAAAATACATCACATACACATAGCGTAATTTTATTTCACGGCTCCAAACCAATCACTTTATTTTTATTTTTATTTTTTCTACACAAAAATGTTGCTATAGAGATTCGTTGTTTTTTACAATTGTATGTTCTTTTTGTTATTACCCGACTCTATGGAATATTTCAATTTTTGATATTGAAGCCCCTTTGAGATACTAACTTTAAAGTTTCGCGTTTATGTTTGCAACATTTAATTTCGCGGGTGTTAACGCGAAAAGTAATTTTTGATATGGTTATGCACGACTACAATTTTGCTACAATGTTGTCGTAAGTTTAAGTCGAAGCCGAGTTGAAGTCGAGTCACAGTCAAAGGCAAATAGTAAACGTCAACGTTAAGTCTGTATTAAAGTGTTATATTATCGTGCAAGCCGTTTTGTCAAATAAAGACTTTTTTCTTAAACGGAATTGAATAGAAATAGACGTAATTCTAGAATGGAGATTGTGGCTAAGCACGTGACAGATTATTGTATATTTTTTTATTTAACTATCACTGTAAACAATCTTTAAATGAAAAATTATTGAATATTTCTTAATGTTAACTGTCTCTGAAAACGCACATGAAAACGAGGTTTACCATTGTTATCGTTTAATGTTTATTAAATTTGATATATAAAAGCTTACATGTTTAATGATTAAAATAAATAATAAAATTATCGCTATAAGTTTTAAATAAGATTTGTTTTGTTTAAATTAGTTGATTTCAATTGTGAATTTAGTTACCTATTTGTCTAGAAAGTTTACTTGTCTCTGTTTGGTTAATTTTGGCGGGAAAGTATGACTCGGTAGGTAGGTTCGGAATAATGTTGTAAAATAAACGATGACACTTTTTGGCGGGTTGGCGTTGAGCTAAGTTAAGTGATTTCTCACTTTTTATGTAATTAGATGTAATTGTTCTTTTTTATATTGCTGTTGAACATAATTAAAATAATAGAAAATGTCTAATATATTTTATTATTTATTCACTTTATGTTTATTTCTTTACTTATTCATGAGATTTCAATAATTTAATAATAAATTCAATTGATCTTCTAAATACCAAATCTCACACACGCATCAACTTAGAAGTTCTGGCACCCTACAGTTAGATGTGATGATACTAGTAAAAAGGCTAATAATGGATGGATGTGTAGTGCCGTAGTATTGTTTATTAATTTTTACTTACCGGTTAGTTCTTCAAGGGAAACACTGTCATAAAATTCTGTGAAAATATGGCGTTTATTAAAAATCGTCTCGCATAGCTTTTCATAAATTTTAATTATAGCCACAAGATTTTATATGTCTTAGGGCTGATTTTTCAATGGTTAGATAAAAGTTATCTGCGAAATAATTATGATGCTATCGCGTCAGACTGTTTGTAAAAGACAGTGACAGCAACAATTTTATTCCTCAGATAACATTTATCTGAGGAATAAAATTGAAAAATAGCCCTTAAGGAAATAAGTCACATTACAAAACACAAAAAAACGGGGAGATTCGTTGTCCTCGAAAAAATGGGATGACCAGTTTTAATAATTTAAAAAACGAATGAGAATTCGGTTTCGTCTCGTTTGAATAATGCACTGCCAAAATTCCTTGGTAGGATGTTTAGGTTTAGGGGGAACTGAATGAGGTTTTTCAGGAGAACAGGAAAATAAAATCAAATCGATCAAACATATTTTTTGTAGTTGCAGTTCGGCTAACGTGCACACGGATCACCTGATGGTATGGCCCCATGGACGGCTGCAACATCAGAGGGGTTACGAGTGCGATGCCGGCCTTTTGAGAATTAGGGTTTCACAGATTTAGGGACTGGGGAGGAATGGGGGAGGGAAAGAGTGAGGCCTAGGGTAATCATATACGGCGTCGCACAACGCTGTAGTTGTTTCACGCGAAAGGACGTGGTGGCTGTCCCATACCAAATTCACTGTTAATTGACTACTAATTCATTTATAATTTGTATACTTACCCTCAAGATATTCATCATCGTCAACTGTAAAAATGTTTAAAAATAACTATAACACATTAATTAACAGACCCACTTCGGAGTCCACTTTAGGACTATATTCACAATAAAGAAGCTGGCAAATAACATTAATATTTATTAATTGATTTACAATATTTTATTCTTTTCACTATCAGGGTGTATTCTTGCTAAAACGTTTTAGATTAAATCAAAGTAAACGAGTACCTACAGCAAAACTCTCTCTTATTAAAAATAGTTTAATATATCCTTGAGCGGTTATAGGTATTTATTTCATTGGTAACAAGGATATTAATTAAGTGTTGGACATAGAAACAGAAACTATTCCTCACGATTAAGGGCATTTTCGCACTGTGTGCGATCCGAATCTGATCCAGTCCCTTGACTCGCTTACGCACTATCGGATGAACTATGACGGACATACTTCATCTGTCATCTTTGAAAGTAAATCCAAATCCTGTATTAGTTCTTTAGACCTGTATTTTTACGGTTTCGAATCGGATTCAGATCGCAGCGGACGTAATGCAAAAGCGCTTAAAATTTTTGTTCCGAAAACAATTTTTATAGAAATTGTTATTTAACCATTAAATTACTGAGGATGGCTTTTTTGTGAGGAGAAAATTATCAAATGATTTCTCTCGCCCACGGTGAGGCGAGAGGGAGTGTCAGACTCATACTGACTAAAAACCCCTTTTCCCCCCTATTCGTTCTCCTGCTCTAAACAGAGGCCGCGGTGTCTTATTGCGCTTGTCCCGTAACCCTCTTGAATAAACAAACTTGACTTATCTGAAATACTGATTATAATATTTTGTATTTTAATTGCTTCTCAGAGAATCTCAACATGACCGAAAGGTTAATACCTAACTACTTTGGAATTAAGCATTGTGGCAGTTAGGTGGACTGACGATATCCGCAGGCTGGCTGGTAATGGTTGGATGAGAAGAGCTGAACATCGAACTTAGTGGCGTGCAATTAAGGAGGCCCGATGTCCAGCAGTGGACGGAATCACACTGATGGTGATGATGATTTTTTTTATGATAGGTCGGCAAACGTGCTGGCGGATTACCTGATGGTAAGCAATCAGCGCCGCCCATGGACACCCGCAACAACTGACGAGTTTTGAGTGCGTTGCCGACGTTTTGGGGATCAGGAATTTGGAGATTTAGGGATTGGGGAGGGGAAGGATTGGGCCTCCGGTAACCTCACTCACACGGCGAAACACAACGCTGTGGTTGTTTCACGCCAGTTTTCTGTGAGGCCGTGGTATTACTCCGGAAGAGCCGACCCATTCATGTCGAAGCATGGCTCTCCCACACTTAAAATATGATGATATAGTAATGCTGCCAGTCTTTTGGGCGCACAACCTCGCGACAACGATGTGGGGCTTTTGATGCAATGCCATGCTATTTTGTGCATTCTTTATATAATAACTGGTCAGTGGGCCATCTTAGGGGAACTTTACGTTGTAAATATTTCGTGGAGCATACGGTGGCGGTGTGCCCTGCCTGGACTGAGCACCGCCGTGTCCTTAGGGAAGCCATCGGTGGCAGTGACCTCTCGCGCCCGGCATTTGTCGAGGCCATTGCGCGGAGCGAGATGAACTGGGACGCCGTCCTTCTGTGAAGCAGTAATGCTCGCAGAGGGAACAGGGGGGGGGGGTTTAGTCAGTAAGAGTCAGCCACTAAGGAAGAGTCCCTCCCGCAGGACCTTTGGCGGGAGAAGTAAGTTGTTCGTAAGTAATTTCGTTTGGAATCTAAATAATATTACACGAGACAATATTATAAAAGACTTACATATATTATGTGCTTCCATTTTAGCACATATTCTTTTGGTGCAAACATATTTCCTAGCAACGCAAATGCATCGGTTACATTTTTTATATTTCACTTGCCATAAGTCACAATTTTGCTTTTTTCGTAAAATATCTGAAATAATACAAAAAATTAACACTTAATACACGGTTGGTGCTGTGGATATAAAGGGATTGAATATGAAAAAGTGTCGTGTAATAGTAAACCTAAAATCAGATGGTAGTAGAAACAAAGTGGTAGTAACTTTTGAACTTTCGCGTATCCTATTTACAATATATAATTTCGCGGACTATTAACCCGAAAATTATTTACGTGTCGTGGTCGTGGTCACAAGCAGACTGAAGATGGCTACTACCCTACCACCCTACCACCTACTACCCTGGGCGAGAGAAGTCATTGGATGATTTTCCCCAAAAAAAAAAGCAGACTGAAGATGCGATGTCACAGCTCCCTACATTCGGGCGATGAATCTTCATCTACCCCCTTATTTTCATTTTCTACCATATTAGTCCATCTAATCACGTTACGTAAAGCCTAAAATACCTTGGGTATTTCAATAAATATTTTTCGCGTAATTATATGTTATAAATGGTAACAAATTATTTATGTAGGCCTTTTTGGGGGAAGGAGATTAGGCCTCCGGTAACTTTACTGTAGTTACTTCTTTTTTGGTATTACGAGTATCCATGGGCGGCGCTGATTCCTTGCCACCAGGTATTCCGTCTTTTTTTATGTAATAGGTCGGCAAATGAGTAGACTGGTTACCTGATGGTAAGCAATGCGCCGCCCATTGAGGAGTTACGAGGGCGTAGCCGACTTTTTAGGAAGATTAGGGTTTGGGGAGGGATCGGGGGAGGGTAAGGATTGGGCCTCCGGTAACCTAACTTACACGGCGAAACACAACGTTGTGGTTGTTTCACGCCGTTTTCTGTGAGGCCGTGTATTACTCCGGACGAGCCGACCCATTCGTGTCGAAGCATGGCTCTCTTACACTTACTGCGTCTGCTCGTTTGTCGATCTATGGCATAAAAACACCACTTACTAATTCTGTCTATTTCACATATCTCGTCAGTACAAACATAAAGTCCCTTTTCACACGTGCATCGATTGCAGTTGTCTATTTGGCGCGTGTTACCTTCCTTGCATGGAACTGACATAACGTATGCTAAAAAATAAAGTAAATTAATACTATTTTTATATTATTGTAGACTAATATGATTTTTAAACTATGAATTATTGCGAATATTATTTAACTAGCTACTCTTGCGCGGTTTCACCCGCTGCTCGGCTCCTACAGAACGTTGCGCGATGTTTTATAACATAAAGTTTTTCTCAATTAATAGTCTATTGCAACTTTTCAATTCGAACCAAGTAGTTCCTGAGATTAGAGCGTTCAAATAAATTAACAAACTCTTCAGCTTTATAACCTACATGGTCCACGCAAGTCAAATTTTAGTTGACTTTTAACTGTCCAGTTAGCTAGCCTAAACTAATCTTATAAATGCGAAAGTAACTCTGTCTGTCTGTCTGTTTGTTTTTTCTTCACGCCTAAACTACTGAACCGAATTTCTGTGAAATTATGGTACAGACATATTTTGGAACTCGAGAAAGGACAAAGGATAGTTTTTCTACCAAATGCAGGAAGTCACTATTCCAAGCGAACGGAGTCGCGGGCAAAAGCTAGTTTTGAAATAAAGGAAATATTGACATGTTTTGGTGTCTTAATACGACTGGATACTTAATGACAAAACTGAAAAAATCTCCTACAGTATTGTCTCGACAGAATAGGGTAAAGTGAACTATAATACCATATCAATACGTACGTTTTCGCATTTTTGAAGTTTTTTTATTGTAAGAATCACATTTTCGTTTTGAACAAAACCATAGCCACCTGTATTTTTGAATATTTCCTTCATACATTAGTTTCGAAGATTTGCTACAGTGACAAACGTTGCAGTCAACCTTTTTTGGAACAACGTGCTTATAGGGGTCGCAGACAACGCCATCTGTTAACAAACAAATAAATTGTTAGGGTTATTCAAAATAACTTAGGCGTATGCGTTTACCAACAGAGGGCGCGTTGGGCTCGCAAACCTGGGTTCGTCAGTTGGCTGCGCGACCTCGCCCAGAGTGGGCGTTCATGAATATGAGTTGTGAATTGAAACTAGTAAGTATACATAAAAACGGTGTAGGTTTCACTAGAACAAATTTATACATCTATCTATCTTCATCATTATCTATCTATCTTTTACATGTATTAATAATAATTTTGATTAATGGAATTTATTAACTAACTTACTGACCCGTACGACGTTATTCGTACTGCCTCAAATAGGAATAGGAAAGGTTTTAATGGATAACCTTTTAATCCTTTCCTGGACTTAAACGAATATTTTAAGACCAAAATTATCCAAAACGAACCAGCCGTTCTCGAGTTTTAGCAAGACTAATGAACAGTATTTTTATATAATTATGAGATAACTTACCCAAATCAGTGGCCGCACAATTTATGTCCGTACATACATCTTGGCCATATACACACATGCAGTAATTACAGGGATCTATTTTATACCGGGTCCCATCTACACACTGTCGTCCGAGACTTCTTCTAGAAACTCCTAGCGCCTGATTAGTATTTCCTGATACTAAAAACAAGAAAAAAAAAAAAAAACAATTAATAATACGCTTTTAAATAAGTAAGTAGATTATAAACTCAAATGTTTGAAAATATGAATAAATTCATTGGTAAAAGCGGCTTAAGTACGTTACATAATGAAATGAGAAAAGCTCAACTTGTTTCAAGTCACTACGGGACTCTTATTCGCGAGCAGCGTGCGCGTCGTGGCGACTTGAACCTAGTAGAGCTTTTCTCAGTTCATTCACGTGAATAAATCGTTATTTTTAATAATTACTATTCAAAAATATGGATGAATGTTTGTTACTCTTACACGTAACAATTAGATACTAAATAGATCTTATTAAAATATGGCAAAGAGATGCAATTACACATGGGCTACTTTTTACCCTAATAGACACAGAAGATCGCAGCAGGTACATGGTATAGAGATTAGAAATTCATAATTTTTACCATCAGTAAATTCTCGTTACGAACGTTATAATTATGTTCACGAATATTCTACTTTATCTCCTTTATTTAAAGGGCCTGTCTAATTAGGCAGACTCAACAAAATGATTGGAATCGAAGACTATTTACTTTCTTAGATTATTTGAAAAAAAAAACTCTGACAGTCAGTGCACGGACTTGCCTTTTTGTGATCTCAAACACAACAGTCTGGTGCATAACTTTTTGTTATTGATGCAGGTGCAGGAGTTGCAGCCATCGTCATCTATGAACCACTCACCACGTTTTCCATAGCATTCGGGATTTTTGGGTTGACTTAGCTTCATTTGTCGTTTCTTAATTTTATCTAAAAGTGTAAGATTCAATTAATATGGATGGACGCTGGAATGTGTCAATGGGGCTGATATTTCGAAGGATTTCGAAGTTGAACAAGAACTACATAGGTGCATTCTACTAAATATTAAGTAAGCGGATGTTTGATGCGAGAATGCTTTTCGACTTTATGGTACGATGCGACTTTCGTGTCTTGGTGTACGATGGGACTGACATACGCTATGCGTTATCAATTTTTATAAAACTACAATTTAGAAAAATAGTTTCATCGATTAAAAGTTACAGATTTTTTGGAAACCTATTCTCATTGGCATGATAAACTCGGATTTGAAACACCAGAAATCAAAACCAACAAGACTCTTTCTGCTTGACATTAGATTCAAATTGTAATTTTCGTTAGCGTTGATCCGAAAGCAGATTCAACGTAGAGCTATTAAGAGACGGTAAAAGGTCATTGCTGGTGGTATATTCTCTTGTCAGAAAATTTTATTTCATTTCTAATCCATCTGCCATCGGTTTTTTATGTGATAGTTATCAAACAGCGCCGCCCATAGATTCTTGCTACTACCAAGGTAATAATATCTACAAGTATTTCAACTTCATAGAAACGGCCGAAACGCGAACTATACCTACGCGCCCGATGTCGGGACGCGCTCGGGACGCAGACAGACGCGGCTGTACCGCAGTGACGAACGGACGGTGTGTTGTCTTTTATTTAGAAATCAGCTCAAGTACATTATTTAATATGACGAATAGGAAATATATATCCTCTATATATAAATATATCCTCTCGCGTTTCATCGTAACAACTTATCAACTAATTTGATGAGGCTAATGTAATGGAAGTTGAATAAAACTGTTTTTTTTTTGTTGAAATGAAAATATCGCTATTTTTTTGTCGTTTTTAAATGTACCTAACTGTAACTATTGTTACGTGCCTGACGTCACGTTCCTGACTATGCGGGCTTGGGTTACGGGATTGGATGAAATGAAACACTAATACCGGTTTTCAGACTTTCTATTGCACTTAAGTTACAGCGTCCACGGAGTTAAGTTATCGGCGTTCTTCTCCAGCAGAGTCCGGCCGACTGACACAACTTTGCCGTTCACGCTGACTTAACTCACTTAACTGACTGCACTTCACTATTTCACTGCACTTCACTATTTCACTCACTTTTCTTCTTTTCCACTTCTTCCTTTTCTTCCGAATCGCTTTAGACTTAGAACTCAACTGCCAGCGGTGAGCCGCAGTTCCGCTTATATACCCCCGGTCAGGTTCTAGAACATTCAATTTCGTTATTCTTTTTGATCGTCATGCCTCCAGAACCTTCCAATAATTTCGTTATTCATTTTTATTTATTCTCCTTCTCGCTCCTTAATTTTTCATTTCTTTCACTCAAATAATTCCAGAAAGTTCGACAAAACTTCCATCAACTAAAAAACTTCATGTTTACGGCGGGACTCGAACTCGGGGTCTCTGTGGTGTAATCCACACGCCTTACCGATTACACCAACTCGTGTTGACAATTCACGACGAAATTTACAATCTCTAGGCAACGTTTGACAACCATCCCTTGACGTCATGATGTCAAAGAGTTTTCCGTCACACTGCCCCCCTCTTAGATTCGCTCGTCCCGAGCATCGTTGCTGCCGTAATACCTCGCCAACCTGTCTATATGGACAACTTTCAAAGGGCTCCTTGAAGTCTTCCGAATTCTGTAAGTAATGTCATTGATCTTCGTGACTATCTCATAAGGACCTTCCCAACTCGGTTGCAGCTTCGGAGATTTTCCCTTCCTTCTGACTGGATTATGAAGCCAGACCAATGACCCTTCTTCAAACCCAACAGAATTGGCTCGTCGATCATAGCGCGTCTTTGCGCGATCACTAGCTTGAAGACCGGCCTCCCTGATCTGCTCATAAATGTCCAACATTTTTGCCCTTAACTCGCTTATGTAATCGCTAAATTCTGTGCGAGAGTCGCCAGGTGGACAGCCCGATACAAGATCTGCCGGTAATCTCAATTCCCTTCCAAAATTTGCAAATGCAGGCGTCTTTGCGGTACTTTCATGTACAGCAGTCCGATAGGCAAGCAAGAAGAGAGGTATGTAAGTGTCCCAATCTCTCTGATGGCTGTCAACCACCTTTGCTAAGTGTCGTTCCAATGTTTGGTTGAAACGTTCGACCATTCCATCTGACTGTGGATGATAAGGAGTCGTTCGAGTCTTATGGATTCCCAAAAGTTTACAAGTTTCCTGAAAAACTTGGGACTCAAAGTTCCGTCCTTGATCACTGTGCATCTCCAAGGGCACTCCGAATCGGGTGAATACCTCGTTTACCAACTTCGTAGCTACAGTTACTGCCTCTTGATTCGGTATGGCAAAGACCTCCGGCCATTTTGTAAAATAATCCATAACCACTAAAACGTAGCGATTGCCCGAATCAGTGATTGGAAATGGTCCAGCGATGTCTAAGGCTATTCTCTCCCAAGGCATACCAACATTGTAGATTTTCATCGCCCCTCTGCTTCTTGTTTGTGGACCCTTGACAGCTGCACAATTAGTGCATTTCCGGCACCAATCTTCGACGTCATATTTGCAATGCAACCAATAAAACCTCTCCTTGATCTTCACCAAAGTCCTCCTAATTCCCAAATGTCCTCCAGAAGATCCATCATGGAACGCTTTTAATACATCCCTTATTTTTGAACGAGGCACCACCAATTGCAAATGCTCGTCCTTGCCGTTTGTTGATTCCCATTTCCTGCACAGAAGTCCGTTATGAAGCGTAAGGCTTTTCCACTGTGCCCATAAACCTTTCGTTACCGCGCTATATTGGGCGACGTCACTCCAACTTGGCTTGTTACCACTTCGTAGCCACTCCAGTATTGGTTTGATATCCGCATCTCTTTCCTGTTCTAATTTCATCGCATCATCTCCCCATGCCTCGTCAACAGTATCAGTCCTTATCACCTTAAGAAAAGCAATTTCCTTCTTGGCACAATGCTTGCAATCTTCCACGCATGGGCGTCTCGATAATGCATCTGCGTTGCCATGAATTCTTCCGCCGCGATGTTCGATTTCAAAGTCAAATTCCTGAAGTTGTTCCAACCATCTGGCTACTTGGCCTTCAGGATCCTTAAACTGAAGCAGCCATTTCAAAGCAGCGTGATCAGTTCTGATTAAAAATTTCCGTCCCAGTAAATACTTCTTGAAATGGTGCAGAGTTTTGACTACGGCCAGTAATTCCCTCCTGGTCACGCAATAATTCCTCTCCGGCTTGGATAGTGACTTGCTGAAGTAAGCAATAACCTTCTCCTGCTCACCATCGCGTTGTGAAAGGACACCTCCTATTCCGATATTACTGGCGTCCGTATCAACTACGAATATTCCTTTCGCGCTGGGGTATCCGAGAATTGGCGTTTTACAAAGCCGTTCTTTTAGTTCGCGAAAGGCTTGCTCACAATCCTCGTCCCATATAAAGGCACGTTTCTCCTCTGTCAATCGATGCAATGGCTTGGCAATGTCCGAGAATCCTTTCACAAACCGCCGATAATACGAGCATAATCCAAGAAATGCCCGAACTTGCGTTTTGTCTTTAGGTGTTGGCCATTCCTTAACAGCGGCAGTCTTGGCTGGATCAGTCTCAATTCCTCTCTCAGAAATAACATGTCCTAGATAATTCAATTCGCGCTTAAAGAAAGAGCATTTCTTTGGACTCAACTTTAAATTTGCTCCACGCAGCTTTTCGAGTACCCTTTCCAATTTTCTTAGATGATCGTCAAAATCCCTTCCAACGATGATGATGTCATCGAGGTAAACTAGGCAGGTTTCGCCCAGCAGTCCCGCCAGCACCTGTTCCATCAAACGCTCAAAGGTTGCCGGTGCATTGCATAATCCAAATGGCATCACCTTAAATTGCCAGAGTCCCTTCCCAGTTGAGAATGCGGTCTTTTCCTTGTCCTTGGGATCCAAATCCACCTGCCAATAGCCGCTTTTCAGATCGAGCGTTGAAAACCATTTCATGCCACTCAGTGTGTCAAGTGTGTCATCGATTCTTGGTAACGGGTAGCTATCCTTCTTGGTTACATCATTCAATCGTCGATAGTCTACGCAAAACCTCGTTGAACCATCTTTCTTCTTGACAAGCACGACAGGTGAACACCAAGGGCTAGAAGAGGGCTCTATCACGTCATTTTTCCTCATATCGTCAATCATTTGTTCAACCTCTTTCTCACGAGCGAATGGTATACGTCTGGGCCTTTGACGAATTGGCATTGTATCACCTGTATTTATTTTATGCTTCACCAAACCAGTTCGGCCAATATCACCATCGCTTCTTGAAAACACATCAGAGAATCGAAGGAGTAAATTTCTAGCTTTCATAGTCTCCACTTTTGTCAGACTTTTGTTTTCGTCTAAGATTTTCGTTACAAAGTCTATTCCCGTACTGTCCTTCTTCACAAGATTCTCCGAGCATTTTCTTATCCAGGCCACTTCTTCCAAAACGCCCACAGGCTCTCCTTCTTCAATCGTAATGTTTGAATCACTGAAGTTGAATACCGGAATGCGGTTGACATCAGATGACCCCACGACAGTCCTTGCCGGTAGCCATGAGTTTACGTGTTCCGATTTATCAATCACAGCGCACCTTCGAGGTAAACTTCCTTCAATCCTCCTAGGTAATGCGATTGGTACGAGAGTCTGTGATTTTGGTTCAAGAACAGTTCTTCTTAAACAGCAAACTTTTCCCAGGGTTCCACCCTTCATCGGAATTTCCTCAGTTCCACATAGTAATACTCCAGATTTTAAGTCGATGTTACACTGGTGCCCTTGCAGGAAGTCAAGTCCCAGGATGCAGTCATCCAGAATTTTGGCCACAATAACCTCATGTCGATAAACACGTTCCCCAATTTTGATTGTTACGTGCAGTTTTCCAGTTATCGGTATCCACTGGCCGGTAGCTGATTTCATTCGTAGGCCAACAATTGGTTTAACGTGTTTCCTGATGTTTTGCCCGAGCAGCCGAACATTTATCACCGTCCTTGAAGCTCCAGTATCTAATGTTAGCTGACTGTTTTTCCCATTTACTTGACCGTCTATCACCAGAGTATTTCCATCGTTAGTTTGCTTGATGTAGATTGTTGGGGTTATTCCACTACCGGCCAGCGCCCACCCCGCAGCCCTGGCTGGAATTAGTTTCCCTGCTGCTCAGAAGTTGAGACCGCCGCGTCCTGGCGGTTCACCTTCTTCGGGCAGTTGCTCCGCATGTGCCCACGCTCTCCGCATCCATAGCACATGAAGATCCGACGGCGTGGAGGTACCTGCTCCGTAGTCGTCATTTCCCGCAGACATAAGGTACGGGAGTTACCACGCACAGCTTCCACTTCCAATGCATGGGCCAGAGCTTCTTTCATGTTCTTGTGATGGCCCAGATGAACAGCAGCTCGTACTTCGGGGTCCCGAATACCGTCAATGAACGCTTGGAGAAGCGTGCCTTCAATCATTGACGGAGTCGACCGGAAAGCTCGACGCACAAGTTTCTCGATTTCCACGGACCATTGCTGTAGGCTCTCATTAGCACGCTGAGTACGCTCTTTTAATTGCGCTCTGTACACGTGCTCGAGGTGGCTGTCTCCAAAACGTGCCTCAAGTGCGTCGAGGAGGGCACTTAAGCTGAGATCCCCACTTGCGCCGATAGCTTCCAGCACTGAGAGCGCTTGATCACGGAGGGCCAGGGTGAGGGCTGACTGTGCTTCCTTCTGAGTCCAACCATAAGCCTCCATAAGTGTCTCAAACTGTAGCTTGAACGCGTTCCAGGATGTTGTTCCGTCGTAATGGGGAATCTTGAGCCCTTTCGTTGCGCTTGAGGCCACATTTGGGGCGTCAAAAACGGCTGCAAGACGGCTTCGGCTCTTCAAAGGGCTTGGGCTTGTCACTTCCTGCTTGATTTTGGAGATCTCTTCTTTCACTCTCTCCTCTATCGCCATGACGCGATGTTCCAACTTGCCTAACCCTTCCTCCACTTCTTGTACCCGTTCGACAGCCTTTTGCAGTCCCTTCGTGAAATCCTTATGCATCTCTTCCAAGCGACGCGCTTGCTCCTCTTGGCGGCGAGCTTGATCCTCTTGGCGACGAGCTTGATCTTCTTTCAGCTCCCGTAGCTGTTCCGCCTGACAGCGTGCTTGCTCTTCTTGGCGGCGCGCTTGCTCTTCTTGGCGGCGCGCTTGCTCTTCTTTCAGCTCCCGCAGCTGTTCTGCCTGACAGCGCGCTTGCACTTCTTGGCGGCGCGCTTGCTCTTCTTTCAGCTCCCGCAGCTGTTCTGCCTGACAGCGCGCTTGCTCTTCTTGGCGGCGCGCTTGCTCTGCCATCATTTGCTGCAGCTGTAGCAGAAGATCCACCTGCACAGGCTTGGCTTCTGCATCGCTGGTTTGAGCTGCAGCACCCTCTTCCCTCACACGCTGCGCTTCTGACATTGCACGGGTACTCACTCCTCTTACGTCCTGCGGCACTAGCGGCATTTTTCTCCAATCCCACTTCTGACACCAAATGTTACGTGCCTGACGTCACGTTCCTGACTATGCGGGCTTGGGTTACGGGATTGGATGAAATGAAACACTAATACCGGTTTTCAGACTTTCTATTGCACTTAAGTTACAGCGTCCACGGAGTTAAGTTATCGGCGTTCTTCTCCAGCAGAGTCCGGCCAACTGACACAACTTTGCCGTTCACGCTGACTTAACTCACTTAACTGACTGCACTTCACTATTTCACTGCACTTCACTATTTCACTCACTTTTCTTCTTTTCCACTTCTTCCTTTTCTTCCGAATCGCTTTAGACTTAGAACTCAACTGCCAGCGGTGAGCCGCAGTTCCGCTTATATACCCCCGGTCAGGTTCTAGAACATTCAATTTCGTTATTCTTTTTGATCGTCATGCCTCCAGAACCTTCCAATAATTTCGTTATTCATTTTTATTTATTCTCCTTCTCGCTCCTTAATTTTTCATTTCTTTCACTCAAATAATTCCAGAAAGTTCGACAAAACTTCCATCAACTAAAAAACTTCATGTTTACGGCGGGACTCGAACTCGGGGTCTCTGTGGTGTAATCCACACGCCTTACCGATTACACCAACTCGTGTTGACAATTCACGACGAAATTTACAATCTCTAGGCAACGTTTGACAACCATCCCTTGACGTCATGATGTCAAAGAGTTTTCCGTCACACTATGTACGTCACGAGTGACCCTTTTTTACAATAAAAAAATGTTTCAATCTAAAAAGTATCCCAGGTTTTTTATACTCCATATTTTATCCATATTTTTGAATTTCTCGTCCATTTTTTTTTTTTTTAGATTTTTTTATTTATTTTTCCCGAGATAAGGTCGGACAACCTGGTACTGTTCTTCTTTAATTAAATCTACCAATAAAAAAAACACGCATTTTTATTGAACACTTCCTATTCAATTGGTAAGTATTTATTTTTAAAGCACTTTATTTTTTTATGTAAAAAAAGGATATTTACAATCACAAAACTAAATGGAAACAGAAAGTAGACAAAGGTAATTAAAATACTGGAGACGAGCAGCCCTAACGCATGTTTACGTACCGCGCGGCTGTAGGTATTTATTTCTTTCAAGCGGCCGAGTTACAATACTGTATGATATTTTTACTGTGCTACTACGGAGGAGTTAACCTTCAAGGACTTAGGGATTTGGAATTCTTGAGATTGGCGGAGGGGAATGATTGGGCCTCCGCTAACCTCAATCACACGACAAAACACAACGCTGTGGTTGCTTCACGTCGGTTTTTTGTGTGGCTGTGGTATTACTCCAGTCAAACCCAACCATTCGTGCCAAAGCGTGGCTCTCGCTTTCCACCACACGCTTTCCAGGTCAGCAGTCATTTCGTTATTTTTTATTTAACGTCACGACGGCTAGGTGAGCTGTCAGACTGAGAGTGTCTACAAATTGAGTGTGTGATCCTCAAAGTATAATAGACTTGATGACACCTTCACAATAAACAGATTATACTCGATAGACATGAATAAGTTGTATTCGACTTTCGGATTTAGGCAACCCAACAACAATGGTAAGTGGTAAGCTTTATATGTACTTGCTTACAGTTTCTATATGAGAGCAGGTCGAAAGGTATATTAAAAAGACAATAATATCACTAACATCTTTTTTTCTTATTTTTCTTTTCGGCACAGTTGCCGCAAATCCACCTCGATTTCAAGCAGAAACATTTTCCGCATTTATTTTCTTTTATCGTTCCAGGTTTACAATTTTGATCCGGGTCATTTTTGTCTGTAACAAAAAATTGTTGTAAGTAGGATGATAGTTCCCAGGTTGGAGAGTGATAATTATAAAAGGTCTGATGATGAAGCAGACCGATACGAAGTCTTTCCCGGTTTTTAGTTAATTTATTTACTTTTTATGCTACTTAATCATAGCACACATGTGGTTAAAAGTAGGTCATATGACCGTACCTTGGAGTACACCTCATTCACATACTTATAAAGACGCATGAGAAAACCTTTCAGATTTTGGAATTTAAATAGTTATGTAAAATTGAAAATGTTATATTTAAACTATAGAATCAGGCGTTACTTTGCGGAAATCCATGACATTAAATGTTATGAGAAATACCTAATACTAATCCGCGACAAAAATTCAGGCCTGTAGCAGGATCTAATCACACCCTATGCAATCATGCACCAAAGGAAACATGCATATGCACACGTGCGAAAGACGGAAAAACGTGCCACGAAATAAAACCTATACTCGACACGTGTTTCTCCCATCCTTAGGAGATGTTCTCGCTGGTCGAGTCAACGACAATCTATATTTTTCATAACATTTAATATTATATTTATTTACCTGTTTTTGTTAAGAACAGGCGACTTTCCTCTGATTCATCTTTACAATAATGGCAAATCCACTTTCCCCTGATGCACATACATGTTCCACACACACCTTCTTTAATTGCTCCCGTTGGGCATTTTCTATCTACAAAAGAATTGAATTAGTGTATAAAAGATCATTCTGTTTCTTTTTTTACAAACGGTATTTTTTTTACTTAATGGCATGCCATGCTAAAAGAAAACTTATTTTAATCTGTATACATATGTTTAAAAGTTAAACAGTCTAGCAGGTCTATTATAGCTTTAGTAAGATTTTTATCTGTCTTACAATACCAGTACCAACTTCAAAAAAGAAGGAGGTAATGTTTGAATGTATATTTATTTGTTGTTCAGCGATTCTGAACTATATTTTGTGGTTCGAAAGTTTACATTTCTCTGATGAGCTCATCATCAAGTCTAGATATGATAATGATTTCGATCGCTTTGAATGGTTTGTACCAATGATAAGAACTTACTTTTAAAACGATTCACCGTAAACCTTTTGTCAAATTTTCACTGACTCTGAATAGGAAAAGCAAAATTTAAGACAAATTAGGTTATCGATGTTCACGTCCACTATGAAATTCGCAATACGCACTGCATATGGTATAATTAATAACAAAACTATTTGATACAAATAACAGACTCAGATGAAACTCAAACTTCGCGCCAAAATGCAAAAAACAATTGTGCCAATACTCGTATATCAACAAGAAAGAATTTTGAAATTTGAATATGGAATTATAAACAAGTCGGCCATTCTAAATACTTTTTTGACTGAATGCATCCCTAACATAGATAAAAAATAAGGTGAAGTTGACAATATCCTCCTTTTTTGAAATCGGTAGAAAATTTGTATGAATTGTACTTATTATAAATATATTCAAAATGGACTTACTGCTTTTCGTTTGGCAACGTTTCCTGGTGCAATACACTGTATTTTTTATGCAGATGCAGCGGTTGCAGCCGTCCTTACTCATTCTCTTCGTGCCGTTACGGCAATGCTGTTTGGTGGTCTTCATATTTTCATGTAAATCTGTTAAGGTTGAGCGAAACATAAAAATATGCTATAGTAATTAGAAACAGTTTCACTCACGAGGACGCAGCTAAAGTTATAGTTTTTTTAGAAATCTACTCACACTCACAATACGGTTGTTTCCAACTAGTCAAATTCAATACTTTTATCCAAATGTCAAAAACTATACTTTTCTATAAAAATTGTATGAAACATTGAATTATGACGTCATAGCATTTTTGCGTCAAATAGCTTACTTATTTTTAAAAAATTTGCTAAAAAATATCTAAAACTTAGTGTATCGATCGATCTATGAATAAAAGTACCTATAGTTATTTTTCAATATTTTATCGTAATAAAACGTCGAATTAATTTATTTTTGACCTAAGAAACTACCCAATTGCTGCTTGTTATGACGTGATATTATTAATAGAACACTATAATAAATATTGTTATTAGAGTTTTTTTATTCAGTTCATATAATTGCATTCGTTATTTACATTGATATGCTCAAAGCTAAAGAAAGTCCTAGTTATGGAGAGGCAGAAGCTCAAAAATAGTAGATATAGTATCCGTATTTCATGACCATCACCACATCACCTCAAAAAGCCTTGTTGTGGACAAAGGCCAAATTAAAAGGCCGGCAACGCACCTGTGACTCCTCTGGTGTTGCGGATGTCCATGGGCGGCGCCGATCGCTTACCATCAGGTGATCCGTCTGCTCTTATGCCACCTATTCCATAAAAAAAAGGAAAATGCGTTTTTTGCAGTATCTTTTATCCGGCACATATTACTAGACATCCTTATTATAATTAGAAATTTGGAAAAAGAACAACAAAATTCACACATTATCCAAATTTAAAAACTTTCGAATGACAATGCAGATAATAATTATTACTCTACTATACTCTTACAGAAAGAAAAAAGCGTCAAACTTGAGGTATGATTCTAAAAAAATGAACAAGCCCACGTCACCCTTGGTTTGGCATGGCATTAATTAAAGGAGATGTCCGTTTTTGATAATGACGTAAGTTTTATAAATCCAACCAGCGTCAAAATATCCGAAGTACCTAAACATATGACAAAAATATGGAACTTAAAACTAAGTACTTTTTTTTTTGTTAGGGGAAATCATCAAATTACTTCTTCCACCAAGGGCCGGGCGGGAGAGAGTGTCAGACTCTCACTGACTAAAAACCCCCCTGTTCCTTCTCCTGCTCTGGGCCGAGGTCGCGGTGCCTCATTGCGCTTACCCCGCAACCCCAGCTGAACTTAAAACTACTGAAATAACATTTTTAAACCCTTCCATTTAAGGGAAAAATCATAAAATAGTAATTGATGTTCTTTGTTGTTGGCAACCCTAAAAAGCTCGACCATACTGTGCCAAATGTCATTTGAATATATTTGCCACTCTTTTGTCACTGGCGTTAGAGATGAACCAACTTAGGCCAAACATAAAGTTAAATCAAATGAAAATTCATGTGCTTCGAGAGTTCGATAATAACAATCATTTTATTTTCACATGAAAGTAACAGCTATAAAACTAGATATTTATCTCCTAAACGTATTTGAAATTACAAAATATAGGTATATAAAAATAAAGCATAAAATTCTCACACACAAAATCAAATGCTGCTTTTCTAGGGTAAAGGATACTAGATTTATTAATATTTACAACTTAACAAATCACAATACAAACACGATAAAATTAAAAATATATGATAAACGATTTTTGTGTCTTCAAAGATCGATCCCATGATAATTGATTTCGGTTCGCACATCTATTGGCTCAACGCAATTCAACTTACAGAATTAACAGTTGTCCTGTGTATAATTTTTCTTTTTTTGGATACGATCACTTTAATAACCTAAGTAATTAGAAAGGTTTGTTCATTAAAAACTGTGTTCCCACTAAAAAAAACCATTTTCTCAAAAATAGAGGTTTAAAAGTGTATGATATAAGTAGAAGCGCTGGATTTTGAGAAGAATTTTTAAAATTTAATTTAAATTATAAAAACTATTTCCGACATGTCCTTAAGAGAAGAGACTTACTGAGTGGCGGAATGCAAGGTTGTCCAGTGCAGTACTCAGTATTTTGGATGCATATGCAGCGGTTGCATCCGTCCTTATCCATGCGCGTATCACCATCTCGGCATTTGAGGTGTTGGGCCCTTAATAACTGTTTATCTAAAAATTAAAAGAAAGAATCAGAAATAAAAGAAAACTGCAGCTTCCAAATAATAATACTTATACATAAATATATTCTATAAGCAAACGTGTGCTTAAAACATGAATTCAAAAGCACTACTGTTTTTAAAACATATGGTGTAACTGCAAAAATCCGTCAGTTTTTTTTTGACGTTCAAAAGTCCCTTTAGGGTCTTATTGAAATAGGTGATTTTTGCCTTTTTTGTGGTTTATCTAAGTTTTAACTAAATACCTACAAAGTCTTCGGACTTCTGGGTTCTGATAGAATTACACTTAAAAAGTTGGATCTTTTAACTTTCATGCTTTAAATAGTTGAGAGTAGACACCAATATGACCGTTGGGGTTTCTATCGAAGGTTTTCAATCCAGAAGTTATTTACGCGTTATTTGTGCGTTGCCGGTTTTTTGGGGATAAGGGTTTCGGAAATTTAAGGATTGGGAAGAGATGGAGGGATTGTGACTCCGATAACCTCACTAACACGGCGAAAAAAAAACCCTGTGGTTGCTAAACACCGGTTGTTTGAGGCCGTGGTATCACTCCGGTCGAGCCGACCTATTCGTACTCGAAGCTTGGCTCGCCCACACTTAATAGTTAGTTCAAAGTTCATTTCAATTGGCTTTTTGTCCTTTTGGTTTAAATAGAGATGATGCGGACTTGAGACTAAAAATCTACTTGTAAAGTGTCTTACTTGAAGGAGATTTGGGGCATATAGCTCCGGTGCACAGGTAGAGTTGTCCAGCGACGCAAACACAGTGGTTGCAGCCTACCACTGTTTGTCTGTACCTTGAGCAGTACCTAGCTGTCGATAAAATAGAATAGCAGTATCATCAGTATCATCTCAGACCTATGTTTCCCAGATAAAACCTATGCTCAGAGACCTCTTCCAGTCATTACCTTATCGACCGAAACTTCTATAAGTCCTGCGTCCTGCGCTACATTTATAGTACCTACAGAAGCTAGCACGTTTTCGAGAAAAAAAATCAGTTCAGTTGAATTAGTGATATCCTTCTTGTTCTTTCGGTTAGAGTGTACCGGCAGCCAAGCAGCCTAGACCCCTTTTTTTACGGGGGGAAATCCTCATGGACTTCCTCCGCCCGGGGAAAGGCCAAGGGGCATGCCGGACTCTTACCAGCTAAAACCACCCCAGTGTCTCCTCGCACGTGCGCATGTGACGTGGGGTCACGGGAATCCATATTCTTCCGCTACCCCACACTAGTGCTGGCCCACCCAGTACGGGCCTCGTCTCAAGCAGCCCAGACCCTGAGCGAAAAAGCAAGAAGGATATCACAAATTCACCTTACCTGGAATTCTTACTTTGCAAACATTATATGGCCTCCATTCAAGAAAATTTTTGCCTTATCCACCAAGCAAATGCTGTATCGTTTTGCCAATTCTATTTGCGATTGTTCGTTACAAAAATATCGTTGGAACTTGGTAGTATGTGGTTCCGTTGGGTACCTATGTAAAATCTACAGAGCGGCACCTAGTAGGGACCTTATATAGTCTCTTTAGCATCTATCACATTCATACAAGTTCAGTATTGATACAAGGTAATCATGATCGCTTAAGAAGAGATACAAATAAATGTTTAGAGATTTCTGAAGGTTATTGATAAGACACGTTTTTAACATTTTTGAATCGTTTCGTTCCTAAAACGATAACGATTATAGATGCTGAACATGGCAAGGGGGATTTGCCTGGATTTTATGTCATTGGATAAAAGCATGGGATTTTGAATTAAAGTATCCAAACTACAAAAACAAACCATCCAAACTATAATATTATAAATGCGTCTGTCTGTCTTTTCTTACGCCTAAACTACCGAACTGATTTCTGTGAAATTTGGTACAGACATATGTATGTAGTTTGGAAATCGAGAAAGGACATAGGATACTTTTGTGGGCAAAAGCTAGTATTTTTATATTATAAACTAGCTACTCTCGCGCGGTTTCACCTGCTGCTCGGCTCTTACAGTTTGTAGCGTGATGTTTTATAGCCTATAGCACTCAAGAACATTGTAGCTATCTATTAGTGAAAGAATTTTGGAATCCAAAGATTACCCCCTACATAGAAACTTACAAACATACAAACTTACAAATTTTACCTCTTTATAATATTAGTATAGATTGATACTTACACCCATTTTCTAAAGGCAGCTGTGACAATTTGGTTGCATCTGAAATACCGTATCATTATCATGTTGTATATTTATTTATGCTTAAATGTACACAAAATGACATGAAGTTGATACAAAAGGTGAACTTAATGCCATATAGTATTCTCTACCAGTCAACTTATGGGTCAAGTAGAAAAATGTTAACCTCATCTTGTGAAATGTTCGTAAAAAATTTTTCTGATTGACTGTATTTCTCAAATATTCCTCCTTTTTTATCAGGGGAAAATCATCAAATGACTTCTCAGGTAAGGCGAGAGAGAGTGCCGGACTCTTACTGCCTAAAAACCCCCGCGTTCCTTCTCCTGCTCTGGGCCGAGGCCGCGGTGCCTCATTGCGCTTAACCCGCAACCCCGGATACTTCTGTGTCGTGAGTTGTTTGAAAGATATACAAATTGACACGTAAGTGACACCTAGACTAGATACTGGACAACACAAAGAGTTGATCCGTCCAAGAGTCGAATCTGCGGTACGTATTTCATACATACTCTTCTGCTTTCTACTAATACTACTCTGAGTTTTATCAGGCTTTTCATAAGAATTGTAACAGCATGAGAACTAACAAAATTTTCCCATTAGAGTTTAATTATTATACTTCAAAAACCCCACTCCCCTCTCCCATGAAAAACCTTATTGACCAATGAAATAAAACTATTTTGTAAAATACAATGATGTCTTACTGAAGTCTTTTGAGGTACTCATAAATGTTAACACTTTGATACTTTGTAGTCCTGAAACATAAAATATTATTTTATTTCAATATATTAAATATATTTTAATTTCATATAATTATATTGTTTTTAGGGTTCCGTACCTCAAAAGGAAAAAACGGAACCCTTATAGGATCACTTTGTTGTCCGTCTGTCCGTCCGTCTGTCCGTCTGTCAAGACCCTTTTTACAATTCTGGCCGGCCACAACTAAAATTCAAGACTCTCTAGGCAAGATTTCCGGTAGTTATGATAAAAATTCACACAGAAAACCGGCGTGAAACAACCATAGCGTTGTATTCTGCCATGTGATTCATATTACCGGAGGCTCAATTCGTCCCCGACACCCATTTCTAAACAATCCTAATATACCCTAAGTCCCGATCCCTAAAAGGCCGGCAACGCACTCGTAACTTTGGCATTGCGGGTGTTCGTAGTCAGCGCATTTTGCTTACTCACTTATCAGATAATACGTATGCTCGATTGCTGACCTATTTCATAAAAAGATTTAAATTCACTATTATATTATTTATATCAATTTTTAAGGGCTAAAATCGTCAAGTATCTGCTCTCGCTCTTTGGGGGGGAGAGGGAGTGTCAGTCACTTACTGACTAAATCCTACCCCGTTCCTGCTTCTGAGGGCCTCCCATGACGTGTTAAAGCGTGAGGCTTCTTCCGTCTTCTAGGCCAGGCCCGCAATATATTATTGAGTTTGCACCCACAATTCTTATCAAAATAGGTACATAAGGAAGGAAAGTTTTTCTAAAAAGTTAATAAGAAAAAATAATTACTTGATTTGGCTTTACTATAAGTTAATACTTCGCCTTTTTCTGTAAATAAAAATAATAAAACTTTGTTAGTAAATATGTTATATGATGGTACAAGATAGTATGATTGTATTAAAGATATAAAGGACTACCCTCAAACATAATAATAATATTATTATTTTTACTTGTTGTTACACGTAGACGAACGTATACGTGTAACAGAAGGCGCACGCGCAGAAGTACTTGTATGTAACACCCTCTCTCACACTTCGCCAACCATTCTTTTTTTTTGTGAGGGTAAAATCTTCAAATTACGTCTCCCGCCCAGGGCCGGGCGGGAGGGAGTGTCAGACTCTTACTGACTAAAAACCCCCCTGTTCCTTCTCCTGCTCTGGGCCGAGGTCGCGGTACCTCATTGCGCTTACCCCGCAACCCCGGCTGAACATCAGCCCTTTAGGGCCCCGTCTGTGGTGGTCTATTAGCTCTTTGAGGCGCGCGCGGAACGCTACGCGCCGTACGCTCGGGCCTGGTTCTGGTCGGGCGGCGAGCTGCCCTTACTCGCCGACCGTAGATCCGAACCAACCATGAATTCCACGTGATACTATAATATACTATACTTTACTTACAGAAAATAACCTAATAAAGATTTCCCGGGATACAGAGCTGCCTAGTTTGCAGTCAACGATGCGTACAGTCAGCGTTAAAATGTATAGGGACCATAAGGGTACTCAACTATATAGTTGCTCACAAACCACCAAAATATCGGTACAACAGTTACCATATACAAAGATAGGTTCACTCAAAGCCTCATATATAAATATCTTTATATGTATGACGCTTTGAGGTATATCTTCTTTATATATAAAAATGGATCGCAAAATGTGTTGGTAAGCGCATAACTCAACAACGCCTGGACCAATTTTGCTAATTCTTTTTTGTTGTGTTTGTTATTGTCAGGAGAAGGTTCTTATCAAAGAAAACATTAGAAAAGTAGAGGGGAAGTTTAGGGAAAAGTGACCTGTGAAAGTGAATAGCGAGATAGTTGGACCCGTGCGAAGCGGGGGCGGGCCGCCGGGTCATATATTTGATACTGACTGGACTTACTAACTAATCTATACGCAAACCTCAAAAACGCCTGGTTCAATTTTGCCAATACTTATTTTGTTGTATTTTTTATTGTCAGCCCAAAGTTTTTATGAAGGATAATTAAAAAAAAAGAAGTAGTTCCCTCCTATGCGATGCAGGGTCTAGGGCTAGTAAATGATAAAATGAATACCTTGCCGCATATATTCGCTAGCAAATTTTCTCAGATCTTCTGTAAAGTTTCCATCCATAAAATGAGCATGCCAGTCTTTCTGCCGGTTCGTATCAGTCCTTTCTGGAAAAAAAAAATGGGAGAACGGAATTGAAATCAAATATTGATTTTAAAGTCAATATTCTCGGAAAAAGTCACATTGGTACTTGCCAGGTTTCGAACCCACACCCTCATGCATGAGAAGCGGGCTCCTTAACCTCCGGGTAACCACGACACACAAGTCAATATTATAAATTAAAAATATACAATTTGGCTGAATTAATTTAGAAAAGCTAGCTAGTTTAGTTTTACGCGCTGCTCAGGAATTAAAGACCCGTTGCGATTTGAAACTAGTAGAGCCTTTTTTAATAAATTGAGCAAGACTGACAACAGTTACTTTATACTAGTGTTTTTGTTGTGATTGTTTTGTGGCCACGATACGTGTGAAATGATCATAGTTACCGTGACTTCCTTCGAAGAAGTCGTGACTTTATCGCTACACCCTGGTCAGGGCAGCCCACCAGCGTGCACTTTCATAGTGTGCAAGTATTTTAAGTGAGGAAGAGCCATGCTTCGGCACGAATTGGTCGGCTCGACCGAAGTGATATCACAACCTCACAGAAAACCGGCGTGAAACAAACACAGCGTTGTGTTTCGCCGTGTGAGTTAGGTTAACGCATGCCCAATCCTAATCTCCAAATTCCCTAATCACCACAAGGTTGGCAACGCACTCGTAACTCCTCTGTTACGGGTGTCCACGGGCGGCGCTGATTGCTTACCATCAAGTCAGAAGGATTTCTGATCGTTTGCCGGTCTATTACATAAAAAAAGTACCGAAATGCCCCACCTTACGAAAATTACTGAATAAATTCGCCAATCACCAACATGCGGACTTAACAAAAGCGGCTAGAATAAACTATTGAACATCGTCGCCGGAATTATAATTTGCGAATCGAACTATTTTTCAATCAAAGTTCGACAAAGGAACTGGAGTCAAAAATGTACCGCAGTTGTGACTGCGAAATTAACTAAATATTTAAATACACGGTAGTATTTTTTTCAATAACTAGTTGTAACTTTCGTAAGATACCTAAAATTGAAATGGATTTAAATATTTATGGAAAATAACGATTCTTAATCAAGAGCAGCACATCGCAGCGACGTCGCTCAGCCGACTGTCTTGAAAAAGAGTTGAGTAGAGTTATTCTCATTTCAAATTCATGTAGGTCATTACTTTCAAAAAGTCTCAC